AAAAAAAAAAAAAAAAAGGTAAATACCCTAGATTTCCAATCATTGTCCTGAGCAGGAAGTTTCAGAAAAAACAAATTTGAACTAGGAGTCAAAAGTAGGTTACATTTTCAAAGAGGTCGAAAATAAATCGATGCTTAAATTTTTTAATTTTTTTTTTATGTTTGTAATTTAATTTTATATATAAATACAAGTATGTTTATTATTTATTATTTTTTATTATTTTGTGCCTTCAAACACAAACAATAATTTATATATATAATAAAGTAACTTATAATTTGTGAGGTTAACCATTAAGGTCATGCTTGAATTTGAATTTAACATCCACATTGTTGAAAGAAATTGCTGATTTTAGTTGTGGCAGATGATCTTATGTACGTGTTCACATCAACCTTTAGATCATCAATTAGAAATCCTTTTCAACACTCTTTTCCGTAATTTTTTGTGAATAATAGAAGATCAATTATACAGTCATCCTTATCCCCACTGAATATACTCTCAAATTTTGTAGTGTTTTAAACTCATCTTTTAACATTATCTGTAGGTTGCTTCATCTTTACTTCATCCACATAGTTTGATTTTGGACCATTTCAAGCCGTTGCTCTGACGCCACAAGATAAAACTTTACAAAATAATGCAAGCATTCTATAGATTCAACATGATTTGTACACCACAAAAGCTACCAAAATCTCACACCTTGATCGTGACATGTGTCAAGAGGATATGCTTCTATACTCCTTTCTTAACAGTTTTTCATGACCCACATCACATGTTTAAATACTATGATAAATAACACGACATAATTAATAAACAAAATATCTTAATATCTATAATTTGAGATTGTCAATTAATTTGAATTTCAGGTTGTGGCCCGTCAAGGGTGCATACGAGCCACTTGGATTGAGACGTAAATCAAAATAAATGAGCCTGTGGACCATATTATGCTATGTAGGGCGAATGCATTAATGATTCCTCATGATAGGTTCGGTTTAATTTATATTTAATATTTAATTATTAAATTTTTCATTGGTGTGTAGATCTATTGTACACATAGGCCCTGTCAGTTTACGATAAGTGACCTATTATTAAAGAAAATTGAGAAAAAAATAGGCAATTCGCCGTCAATTATAAACCTAAAGTTAATGATCAGAGTAAAATCAGGGGAAATTTGAGAGAGAGAGAGACAACGACACCAAGCCTTTTTCCAATAATCAGGCATCTTGAAATCTGACTGACTCAAGCTGTAGTAGCCTGCAGTGATCGCTATGATCCTTTATGCATGAACTGCATTAACCCCAGGGGACAAGGGATGATGCTCTCAGCAGTCACCGCCTGGACTGCAGACAATTTTACCAGCAAAGCTGGTATTCTCTATAACCATAGACTAAACTTGTAGTAGTTGTGATAAAGCATAAGCAAGGGAAACAAAATAGGAAAAAGCAGTACATAGAACAAATTTCTAGACTAGATTAGATTGAACTACGTTAAAAGTAACATACACAAGAATCCAAAGATCTCAAACCTAAATTAGTATGTATACATGATATAAATTCTAAAAGCTGTATCCAATCTGAAAAGTATAAGCTCCCAACGTTGTTCATCCATGGATGTCTCAAAGGGCTCCAGGTCAAAGCAACACTTGTCAATTACCATGCTTTGCCTATGCAGGCTTTAGACTATGGTTTGAAGATAAATTGAAACNATGTCTCAAAGGGCTCCAGGTCAAAGCAACACTTGTCAATTACCATGCTTTGCCTATGCAGGCTTTAGACTATGGTTTGAAGATAAATTGAAACCTAAAAGTACGAAATATAAATCAAGTATGCCCTAAACATGGTTGGTGCTGCTGCTGCTGCTGCTGCTGCTTATACTATTTCAATTGCCCTTCTCCCTATAACACCACTTCAGGTTTTTCGCTCAAATGATGTTCGGAAGTTTCTTCCTTCTCAAGTTCTGTGATCAGCTTTTCAATCTGTCTTCTATAAACTGGCATAAAGTGATCACTGACCATAGTCTGTGACAGCCTCAGCTTGCTATACAGGGACCTAGAGGTGAGAAAAATCCTCACCTTGGTCTCAGCCAGCTGGCCATTGTTCATGTCAATGTCAGTGGAGGAAGTGTTAGCACTTTCAACCCTTGGCTTATCCAAAGGGAGTGTAACAATATGCATGATCTTTCCTGGAGGGAAAAATCTGTGCACCTCCTTTGTCTCTGGCACAGAGCTTTCGGGCTGGCTCTCACAAACCTCTGCAATGGCGGCTGCTTCTTCTTCCCTTATTTCCTTTGCCACATCAGCTTCCTCTTCTTCTGTTCGATCATATAGCTCATGTTCAAGATGTTGCCATAAATCAACTTCAGTCATGTGGTCTTCATGTCTGCCATGGTCCATGAGATCCTCACCACCACGAAGACCACCATCCACATCACTTTGCAGAACCATATCATCTGAACAAGAACATTCAATTTCTGAATTCCATACCATTCCATCAGAGGACGATGCTGGAAGTCCTACAGTCTCAATACTAGTAGTCTCCTGGGTGGATGTAAGTAGAGGATCAGAAGTCTCTATTATTGTGGAAGAATGTTCTGGAGATTTCCCCAATTTGTTTGAGCTTGTACGAGCAGCTGTGGCTCGATGACGGGGACCCATACATGACCATGAGGATAAGCGAAGGTTAGGGCGTGACCATGCTGCTTGAGCCATGCTTTGGGCCCTTTTCATCACAACCTGTAGTCAAAAGAAACATTAACCAGCTGATTATTACCAGATGCTCCTTCACTTTGCCTGACTAATTAAAGTTGACATAGTAACCATACGAAATCTTTTCTTCTTTAATACAGCAATAATGCTATAAAGCAGGGAACTACGCATGTGTGTGTAATTCTAATAGGAAGTTTGGTTTCAGAAACTGTGTATATATAGTGCTCTGCGGGCCTCGCTTGGAAAATGAAAGCAGGCAGTTGAGAAGGTCAAAATCCACTTCAGCCAAGTTATAACTATGCCACAATGCATAGTCAACACCCCCCCAAAAAAAAAAAACAAAAAAAGATAAATAAATAAACCCCCCTTCTTTCTCTCTCTCTCTCCTTTCCCTTTTATTACCCTTTCTGTCTGTCTGCGTGCATCTTATGTTTTGTGTAGGAGGAGGACGGGAAGCTCTATTATTACTACAATAAAACATTCGGCAGATTTCCACTCAGATGTTTGCATGACCAGTTGATGGAAGAGGCAAGAGATATTGTATGAAAACCATAAAACAATATTATATACCAGCAAAGGATAAAATACCTGTGTACCACTCGAAACTGGACGCAACATTGCACCAGCCCCAGCAACTTTTTCTCTAGCACTGGCAATGGATGGAAGACGAGATCCTAGTGCCGATGCTGAACGATAGACAGTACTAAGAATTCTGGTCCGCTCAATCTGATTCCTCAGATCATTCAGCCAAGCAGAAGCTGTCACCTGCGGGAAAAAATGTATTCTTTCAAACTAAATTACACTGTTCTAAAAATCAATACATGAGACATGTCTAATGAAAGTTGCAACAAGACAAAGCTTAATTCTACCAGCTGCCTTGCAAGCCACAAAGCAATTTGGTCACTCTTGTTTATGTGGAGGATGTAATTCGTAGTTCTAGCGACACCAAAAAAACTTTTGTGCTGCTAAACAAGGAAAAGCTACAGAAGATCTTTTGAAGCACACATGTTAAAGTTCCATCATAACTCTATAGTTGAAATGAAAAAGTGGCAGTATAATTTAAAACAAGGAAAACACAAGATTGAGCACAATTGATGAAGCATGTTTTTTCCCCATTTTTTGGGGACTAGATATACAACTCAGCATACAAAAANGATGAAGCATGTTTTTTCCCCATTTTTTGGGGACTAGATATACAACTCAGCATACAATTTCTGGTTCTAACAATCAGCCAAAACTGAAACCCATCCCAGCAAAACCAACGCCAGTTCAGGACCATCCTCTACCACCTTCTTCACTCTCATTCAAAATGCAAACATTACACTGACAAAGTTCCTTTGAGTCCTCCTGTCTGAGTTCACTTCCTAGTAAGGAAGTCAAATATCAGAAATTGAGAATACTAGCCCAAAAAGTACCTCAGCACGCAAGTCATCCACTGAAGCAGCTGAGAATGTTGGCACTAAATCAGCTCCATTAATAACAGAAGTAATGAATTCATTGCCTGATTCCGCGAGTTCCCAGGTCATACAAGCAGCTGCAAGAAATACTCGGTCAGCGTGAAAACGATTTCCAACCAGAAGGAAGAAGAGAAGGTGAACTCAGTGCACCCACGGCCAAATAACTCATCCAAAATAACTGACATCATCATAATGAAAAAGACTGGTATAGACAGANTTCCGCGAGTTCCCAGGTCATACAAGCAGCTGCAAGAAATACTCGGTCAGCGTGAAAGCGATTTCCAACCAGAAGGAAGAAGAGAAGGTGAACTCAGTGCACCCACAGCCAAATAACTCATCCAAAATAACTGACATCATCATAATGAAAAAGACTGGTATAGACAGGTACCCACTCAATGGCCAGTAAAAAAACCAATTCAGGATATTTAAGAATAACAAACNGACATCATCATAATGAAAAAGACTGGTATAGACAGGTACCCACTCAATGGCCAGTAAAAAAACCAATTCAGGATATTTAAGAATAACAAACACAAACCTGGAGCAAATGTAACACATGTAGTAGTTGACAAGTCCTTCTGCTCACGCAATACATATGTTAAAAGTGCTGCAGTGCCTCCGCCCAATGAATGTCCTACAATCTGTACAGAAGAAGAAATCTCACCAACTCCTATAATTATCAAATAATTCCAAATAAATGTCAAGGAAGTTCTAATATAATGCTGTTTCAGTGGACTTCTAAATCCAATGGTCCCATTATGATACTGCCATAAGTAGTAAAATCTCACAAATCAATGAATATAATCTTGAAAATTTAGCAAGAAAAAAACATGGGGTGAAAGAGAAAAGAGTAGAAGAAGAAACAAGTCTTCCAATAACAAATCATATAAATTCTGGTCAGTATTGTACACGTTAATGGAGAATGAAACACATGAGTACCAGGAAAAGCAAATGTAACNTAGAAGAAGAAACAAGTCTTCCAATAACAAATCATATAAATTCTGGTCAGTATTGTACACGTTAATGGAGAATGAAACACATGAGTACCAGGAAAAGCAAATGTAACTCAATGTGGAACTTGAGGAGTTAATTTGTATTGTTGGAGAAGCCTTTTTCATGGAAACATAATATAAAGCTGAAGAAAAAACAGCTAGAATTAGCAATAATTTTTCTGTGGACTTCCAGAAATCTGTTTCAAGTAGCTTGGTAATCACCAGTTCAGTTCAAGGTATAGCACCCCTAGGGAAACAATCACAAGATGTGCAGACTAGCCTTAATGTAAAATCCAGCTTCAGTACCTTAAGTTTATAATCAGGATATTTGTGGAGTGCTGCTATAAGACAAGGAGTTGCGAGTTTTGCAATCCACCGAGCAGCAGCAACCATTCCACAATGTGCATAGCCTAAGACTAAATTACTAACTCCTCCTTCATGCACAACCGTGTGATGGAATGGTACCACTGCACCAGTAGCGGCAGTCAGTGTATCTTTGATGCTATGCGTCCCACGAATTAATAGAAGGAACAACTTTGTTTTGTGGTCAATCAATATCGTAAAAGCTGGCTTCAAAATCTGCAAAATACAAGTGAACAGGTTCAGGTGGATGAATATATCCTCTGCATATACAATACACCACTACCGGAGAGATTAGCCTAGCATCATCCACACAGGTACATGTAGCAGATTGCACCACCCTACTTTCTCTTTTTCTTTTTTTTTTTTTGTGTGTGTGTGTGTTTTTTTTTGGGGGGGGGTGTGTGGTACAAGGTGAGGGCTGGGGGATAGTGTTCAGAAGGGCATTAAAGAAAAAGAAGAAGAAGAAGAGGAATAACTGTAATTATATTGACATGTAAAAGTAGAGTTGAAGGTGTTCAAAAATAACTTACTCCAGCTTTGGGTTCCTGAAGTAGAACATTTTCTTGGGGATAGCCGGTCTCCTCTAAAAATACTTCAAAGGGTTTTTTCGAGAAATGCCAGCATAAGGTCAACAAGTTTAAGAGATATCTAAGCTCTGCAGCCATTTCAGGCCCTTTAAGTTGTAAACTATCTTTAGCACCAAATATGCTGCTGACATGTAAGTTTCCCTGCAAAGCAACACAAGTTGGTGTGAAGCTTGCCCATTAATATTGAATATCTCTCCACCAAGTTAGTCACAGTCAATATAATCTATAAACATGATAAGTTCTGATCACTCAGAAATTCGACCACTCACCATAAGACAGAAGAAATTGCAGTGCAAGAAGAGTGTATTGGAAAATTGAATATAACACCAGATATACATATTGCTTTGTCTCTCTAATTGCAAAATACATGGTTCTAATATATTGTATCGGTTGCAGAAAAATGTTGCAATGTAAATGGTACGGCAGGTAGTGTTAATGTGCCATGCAAATAGGACTCTCAAATCTGTTTTTTGTTTTCACTAGCAACCAACCATAAACGAAATCATCATTCATGGAGTCTCCCCTTCCCCATGAGAAATGGCCATTCAGTCCATTGACATACCAACACCAACCTTAAAAAGTGGGTCTAACGAGAATAACCAAAAAAGGATGCCCATCAAATTAACAGGAACAGGATGCAGCCAACAGCAAGTGATTGCTCATATTGATATTTATTGCCTTCAGCCAGTCAAACACACACTATGATAAAATCTAGTTGCTGAAATTTCATTCATGAACTAGGATAACCAAAGAAAAAGGCATTCCCTCAATCATACAGTCGAACATGGCACTTTATATAAGTGAAATTAAAGACCACATTTTCCTAAACTAATAGCAGCATTACAATTGACATGCTTGCTTACCTGTCTTTTTAAGAGGAAGTTGATCCCAAAAGCCAAATCCCCTATGGGCCACTTCCCTAAGGTCTCAGAATAAGTAAACCTAAGAGTCTCAGATAATGTTGAAATTGTATCCAACCATGTGGCAGGGGCTTGAATAAGTCTATGGGAAACCCGCTCAATCCCTAGAGGAGCATGATTATGCACATCAATACCATTTTCATCATCATTATCATTATCTCCTGACGTTCTACTTGATTGTAATTTCTTATTTAATGTATAATACAAAAGAGCAGCTGCACCAGCAGCCGTGGCCATAGTTGCAGTTGCCATGAGATTCCGTTTCCTGAAAATAAAAAGATATATATGTTTATCAGTTACTGATTCTTGAGGGGAATTTTTACCAAAATCTTGTATTTCGAATTTTCAAAGAAATGTAACGCCAAAGTTGCAAACTTTGGTAAACACTGAGAAGGCAAGCGTCCAAATTCACACAAGCAAGACATCACTTTGATTGATAAATTGTACAATACTAAAAACAAGCAAATATAACATCAATGCTTCTAAGAAACAACAACATAATTTAAGCATCCATTGACTTCTTTCTTTTTTCTTCCTTTTTCTTTACAACCAAACAGAAATAACTCATCTGGAAAATCGATGAGTCAGAATCCAAAGCATAGCGATCGTAAAAAATTCAAGACCGTCGAAATCATTAAAAGACGCAGTATCAGAAATTAGCAAACAAGAAGAAGAAGAACCAGAACATGATTAAAATCTGAAAAAGCAAGACCCTAACAATCCAGAGTTTGAGAGACATTTGATGATCGCAAAACGACGATAGAAGAGAACATTACCGAAGAAAAGCTCGATTATTCGAATAATCTGATGGTTGATACCTTCGATGCTAAGGCATTCAATAATCAACTAAAACAAGTAACGGATTTAGATTAGACTTCTTCTATATGAAGACTTATAGATTTCAAGCTTTCGCTTCTCTTTTTCTTTCTATTCGGACTGTGATATGGTATAGGATTTGCACAATCTGACTCGGATTTTGTGTTCGATTCGATTACATTTTATAGGTTTTTTGGTTAGTTCCCAGGGACACGCAGACGAAGCAATCACCGGGAACTTGAAGCCGAAACTGACCGACCCAAATGGGCTTGCTATTCGAATTTAGATTCTCTTGAAGCCCAAACTGGCCCACTCAAATGGGCTATTTGAAATTGAACTTTGAAGCCGAAATTAACCGACCCAAATGGCCCAATTGTGTGGGGAGCAGGTTTCAAAGGAGATTGTGTGGGTCTAAGCCGAAGTTTACGTGTGGTTTTGTGTGTTCGAGTTTGCAGGTGGGGTCGAAAAGAGTGAAGAAGAGGGAGGAGAAAGAGAGATGTTTGGCAAGTGTGTTGGGGGTACCTTGATCTTTTTAATACAAAAACAATTGAAGGCAAAGGTTAAAATGTCGGCCTTTATTGGGGTACTGGACATTATTTTTGAAGTTGTTGGTGTTTTTTGAAATTTAACTACGATGGCATAATAATATGTACGGAGGTGAAAAATTGCATAGAACCTGTAAATTTTAAAGATAGTTCAATTGGTAACAGAAATTAATTTTGGCAATCTTTAAGGTTTGGCCATAAGAAATTTATCCTTCATGAATATCCTAATTTAATCGTGGATGACCTGTCTTTAACCTGACCGAAGAGGGGATTAATCGAAATGTGCGTTAGTCTTAACACCCTTGACATGATCGAGAAGAAAATTACTTGAAGTGCANGATGTTTGGCAAGTGTGTTGGGGGTACCTTGATCTTTTTAATACAAAAACAATTGAAGGCAAAGGTTAAAATGTCGGCCTTTATTGGGGTACTGGACATTATTTCTGAAGTTGTTGGTGTTTTTTGAAATTTAACTACGATGGCATAATAATATGTACGGAGGTGAAAAATTGCATAGAAACTGTAAATTTTAAAGATAGTTCAATTGGTAACAGAAATTAATTTTGGCAATCTTTAAGGTTTGGCCATAAGAAATTTATCATTCATGAATATCCTAATTTAATCGTGGATGACCTGTCTTTAACCTGACCGAAGAGGGGATTAATCGAAATGTGCGTTAGTCTTAACACCCTTAACATGATCGAGAAGGAAATTAATTGAAGTACGTATAAATTAGACCGAATACCTTTAACCATTAAAAAAAGAAAAAGAGAATGTGACTACGCGAAGGAACTGTGTCTCTCACGATCTTTGTTGTTGTTCCTGTCCAAATAATAAAATCTTGCCCGGATCAACTTGTCTGCATTAAATGTTACTGATCATCACTAATTCACTACTCTATCCACCAGCACATGATGTATTGAATACTGATATTATACCACTTACATATCATTTCGTCTATTCAAAAGATAGCGTGTCTTTGGAATTTGATCTTCGTGGTGGTCGTTGCTTGAAGTATTTTGGCGTTAGATGACCTTCTAGTTGGCAATTTGTTTGGTACTTGTAATAATTATAGACAACGAGAATGTAATTTTCTCAATGAAATCTTTCACTATTAACTATTATGCTAGCTAGCCATTTAGTTTTCTAATGCCACACTTTCTGCTGTGGCTGCTATGGTCAGCTTGAAGCTGCATAAATTTCCAATGATGTGTGAACAAGCTTACATGTTGTGAAACAAATGCGTATATATATATATATATTAGCAATTACATTTACTTACTGTCAAATAGAAGAAATCTCAATTTTTATGAATATAATGGTTGTCTAACTGTTATACCTTTGTTTAAGTACTGTTACGGATTGCTTTAGCTGCGATGCCCAGTCTACAACACATGGAAACAAAATCAAGAATGTGTTGTTTTACTTTTGTAAGGCATCATTAACGGTTACAGTTAGCTAAGAATCTTTGTCTACACCGTCTAGTAGCAAATTAGTGCTTAATTTGCACATTATCTTCACTTTATTGAGTTGCTTTTGTTTTCTTTTACATCGCTTTTAACGCTCTTGCTAATGTGTTACTTTAACATCTAATCAACGGTGCTTATTTTATAATTTTCCTCTATTTTTTATTAATCATGTTATGCCAATTTGCTCTCTTTCAAAAAGGGCTTGAAGTGTTTTTTATTTTATGGTTTTAAGCCCTCGGATCAATGTATCTGCTTTAATATCAGCTCAGCTTGACATTTTGCTAGGAATTGAACTCAGTCGGAGTTCCAGTATTATAACAACGGTGTTACTTGAATTAATTTAAATTATATTTGTCTTTTTTCTTAAAAGATATGATTAGTTATCGAAAATATATTATTGACTATGCATCGAAGAGATCCTGTGTTACGATTGACAAGCGAGTGAAATCAGGAATTTGTGGCAATGGAGCAAGTCATTTAATATTATCATCGAACGGGCCTGACAATCCTGACTATAAAGGTGCCTAAGGGGATAAGCGGGCCCGTCGATGTTAAGACAGTAGGTGACCATGTTGGCTCTTTCTTTCTTGGTGATTTTATTGTCTTTTCCCATAGAGCGAGCGACCCTTGTTCAATCATCTTGTGCCACTCCTGCCTCCGATAAGCACTCGATGGACCACGGCTAGCTCCGCCCGTTTCAACGAATTTAGCAGAACTTTGTTTTGAACTTATCAGACTTCTAATTTTTGGGATGGCGAACCAAACAACTAACTTACAATTGTCGTTAATAATTTTTTACACTTCAATTAAACAAATGTAAAGGTGAACTTAAAGTATAATTACATATATTTTCTCATGTGTGTTTATAAAAAAAAATTAATGTTTTTAACGATAAATCATTTGACGTTTATAAATAAAAATATATATATACATATATCGATCTAAATTTGATGTCAACCATCTGTACTAGATGACAAATTGTGGCGACTTAAAAAAATTTGAGGTTTAAAGTGATATTTGTAAATGATGTATTTTCTCAATTGTCTTTATCACTAATTTTCTTATTCTTTCTTGGATAATTATTTTGCATGTTTAACTCTCATCGTGGATATTATTTTTATTTTATTATTTCTTATTATTTGGGATATATTAATTGATTATTTGTAAGACTTTAACCTATTTTTCTATAACATTTTGTTTGGTAGTTGGAATAAAAATTTCATTTTGAGATTCAATTATTTTAAATTTTCTCAATTTTTAGAAAGATTTTTCATATTCATATGATTATTTTCTAGTTGCCATATTAATAATACATAATCAATAAATTAGTTCTAAATAATCATATGGTATTTATAATTACAAAATATAACATGAGCATATAAAATTACAAAAAATATAAAAAAAATATAGTTTGATTTGTCACAGTTATTTGCAATATTAAAATTTGATATTTTCTTTCTTTCTTGATCAAAGTTTGTACAATTAAGTAGGTTATTTTATACGAGTTTGATTTGGTGTATGATCTTAGATGAAAAGTTGCTTGTGTGAGAGAGAGATGGAAATTTATTTGTGTGTAATTGAAAATATAAGAGAGAGAGAGAGAGTGTGTGTGTGTGTGTGTGTGTGTGTTTGTGAGTGAGAGAGAGAGAGAAGAGAGTTTGGCTTTTATTGTTTTTATTTTACTGTATTGAGTTTTGACCGTAGTAACAAAATGTGTTGACTATATTTTTGGGCCTAACTAATGAATTTAAAAATTAGTTGATAAGTATACACTTTATTGGAGCTTTTTGTAGAGTTTATATTGTTACGTATTTAAAAACTTGGATTGAATTACATTGTACGTTAAAAAATATGATGCCTTCTTTGTAGTTCGGGCCTAAAACCTTTACTTTTTCGATTATATTATCGAGCCGGCCCTGAGAAATTGAATGGACAAGAGGCTCAGTCTCTCATTTTTCTTGTAAAATATATTTTTAGATATAATTATGATATTATATCATCGTCAATACGTCATATCACCAATTAATAATAAATACAGGGAAGGATTAATAAATTTTAATATTTTACTATAATAATTATTGAATAAGATAATTACTGACAATTATTAACATATTGAAACTCATTTGTCAGACACATTTTTTGCATTTGAGTGGTGGGAACAGTCAAACAGTCAATTTTGGTGGGAAATGACAACCAACCAGTTGTTGATCTCTTTTGTGATTTTCTTTTTTTTCATGGGAAAACAAAACACGCTCGGGATTTTGCTTTAGAGAATCATTGTGATCGTTGCTCCACAGAAAATCTGTCCGAAAGTCTTCCTCGAATCTGTCTGTATTCGGCGTACAACTAATAAACTAGGACTCACCCACCGAAAGGACTACGCTGGCTGGTCCAGCACCATGGACCACCGTGGTCCTGACTGCATGCCGTAATTAAGACACTGATTAATCTCCGTAGTTCCATCATTTATAAAGCGGAGGTACATATTAATTGAAGTCCTTGACTTCATTATTACTAATGCCACGCCATCTATCATTCGCCAATACATATTACTTCATGAATATAATTTCTTTTTTTTTTGTAAGAGAAAAAAAGGGATTTGTACTCGTGCACTCACAAAGTAAAAGTCTTCGCAATAAAAAAAATATTATTAGAGCAAAGGGCTGTTAGTACTTTTTGAATATAAATTTGATTAAGTTAACAAATAGCAAAGTGGGATGAAAATTTTTATTGTGAGTTTTAGTTTTCATAGCTTTACAAAATTCGATTCTAATTAATTTGCATATTTCATAGAAAATTTCAATAAGTATGAGCTTTCTGTTTTCGTTATAAATTCAAAATACACTATATTTAGATGATATTTTGTTAAGAAATACACACCATTTTATTATGTCATTTTAATCAACTTGTTAGTGGAAAAAATTTCTTACCATCTGATTATGGTTTTATTGGAAAAATAATGAATAATAATTTCACCGTTCATTCTACAAAATAAACAAATTCTCAAAAATCAGGGATGGAGGGGTGAACTCATTAGAGACACTCTAATATCTAAATCAATAAGGGTCTTGAAAGAAAATAAAGTTTGTAAAATGTCTATCTTTGACTCTAGTATCATACAATATTAATGGTGTTGAGTGGTAAAATCTCTATCACGATTTTAATTTTTTTTCCTATATTAGGTGGCACACTTCATTCTCAGCGAATCCCTTTAGAAGTTATGATTTTTTATAAATTTTCTCCTTATTTGCCTATTTATTACGGTGTGTTGAATGTTCTTCTATGATTCATATAACATTCTTATCGATTCAACCATTTTCTATCTTCTTGAAGGATCTCTGTTCCAAAAGGTTATTTGTGCTATCCGCTTAATTTTACTTTTGGTTCGATTGTCTTAACAACTCAACCTATAAACTATTTGATTTGTAGTGATGGATGCTATAGTTTCTCTATGTGCCTTCCTCACATACTTTTTGGCATGTGTTTTAAGGCACGTGAACTTATTAACTATCTCAATTAGACGTAAATATTTTATATCCATTCACAACCCATGCGCTTGAAAAAAAAAAAAAACTCATACACTAAAAATGTTTAATTTATTATTTTTTATGATGATGTGTTTTTCAAGTGAGTGTCACACTAAAATTACTGTTACAAGGTAAACTCTAGATATTTATTATCACATCGTACAAGTTAACGTAGTCATCGCTTCGTATTGAGTCAAGACAGGAGTGTGGCCCAGCAAGCACTACCAAAAACCATTCCCACGTGCCACATAGTGAATGGACAGATCGGATTGAAAAATATTTTGCGTGGGCCCCAGTTTCGCTGGACCATTTCAAGCTCTCCTTTCATAAACCCAAGCGCCAGTGACAGAATTGACGGCACTCCGACTCCGGTACAATAATATAGCCTCGAGTTCTTTCGTCTTCCTCTCTCCACATACTCTCATACCTCTTCTCTCTCAGCGTCAAACCCCAACACGCTCTCCAACTTATACCTTCACCTGTACGGACGTCCCTTACACCGAAAGATATTTCCGATCGAATGGCCGACAAGTTCTCACAATCCGTGGAGTTCGGTCTCAAGCTCTCAAAACGGATTTCCTACGGAAAAGAAGGTTCACTGTCGGCGCCGAAGCTGGCGGTGATGGAGAAGAAGTTATCGTCGCTGGAGACGTATATTCCGACGGCGCCGATGGTTTATGCGGTCATATCGGACCCGTCGATCGTTGATAATCCTGACATTCCGAGTTACCAGCCGTATGTGCATGGAAGATGTGACCCTCCGGCGTTTATTCCACTGCACATGCATGGGATTGCAATGGAGGTGGACTGTTATTTGGATACGGCCTTTGTTACGGTCACTGGAACTTGGCGACTTCATTGTGTTATGGCTGGCAAAAGTTGTGATTGTCGCATTGCAATACCGATGGGTGAGCAGGTAGTGAAAATATTTCTGTAGCAGTTATTTTTTTGTTTTAATTAAATTTTGTAGTTGAAGTTTGTGTTGTCCAAATAAGGAGACTATTTATGAATTGGCATTTCGTGTAATTGATATAATTTAAAACAATTTAAAAAATCCCCACATGTATATGCGGTGGGTAATTATATGGGACGAATGAATATCCAAAATAAGAAAATCTAATAGATATAAGGAGTAACTTATTCGATTTTTTTCGCCATAGATAAATTTTATGTCCAATTTGGAATCAGTAGATTTTTATTGCTACGGAAATAAATAGAATAGTTTATACTTTTTATACAAACCTTGACTAATGCATAGCAAAATCACCAGTAAGTCATAGAATTTCTGACTTTCAATGAAGAAGTAACTCGTTGACTTTTCTTCTGAAAAAAACAGCACTGAATGAATTGCTAAGGTAGACATATTAATTCTATTGTCGTGTATCTACGTACAGCTAATATTGTTAGTATCAGGAGGGATAAGTCAGATGTTGCTGGATGATTCCTTGGGAATTGCTTTATGTCTTTACTGCTGTCATTAAGTTGACAGAATATGAAATCCATCACATATCATGCCATCTTCATTCTATCTTGTACAAGTACCATTGTACGAGTTTTTTATGATCCCAATAACTTTGAATGATATTGGCTTAATGCAGTTAAGTTACTTGTGAACTAACTTCATTTCTGTTATTAATTCTGCCTTGGTAATACACACTTGAAACTTGAAAGTTTGCCTTTACCTGTGATAGTGCATAACTGTGATATCACTGATGAAGATGATCATACGTTGACATTCTGTCATATAAAATATATATGCTACTCCCACCTAAGGAGAGACTTTTGTTGATTGTTGCAATTTCTTATTTTAAGTTCTCAGAAAGACATAATTTGGCTAACAGGGTTCAGTTCTAGGTGTCGAAGTCAGTAGTAGAAGATCATACTATACGCAGCTAATTACAATGGCGGATGCGGAGGACATAGACGGCCCTAAGGACGGGTTCTTGTTAAAAGGCAAGATATACACATTAAAGATTCCCCAGGTTGCTACCAATTCATATTGCATGATGGCTTATGTCTCTTTTCTCACATTTGCTTCCTTAAATTGAAACAACATGTGATTATGATTTTGTTCAAGGTTGATGGGGGAACCAGTCTTTCTATTAAAATCAGTTGGTCCCAGAAATTGTCATATCAAGATGGTCAATTCTGCCTCTGCGTTCCATTTAGCTTTCCTGCACATGTCATACCTGTTGGAAAGAAAATGTTTAGAAAAGAAAAGATATTGTTAAATGTGAATTCAGGCTCTGGGACAGAGGTTTTATGCAAAACTACTAGCCATCCTTTAAAGGTATGCCATCATTCAATGTTTCATTTTGGCCAAAGATATAAATAGAATGATGGGTTTTTATTCCTTTCCAGGAACTAAGACGTCAGGCTGGGAAATTAGGCTTTTTATATGAGGCAGAAGTTCAGACATGGTCTACTGATGACTTTAGTTTTCTGTATACTGTAAGACTGCCATCTATTTTTTTACGACTGTATGTGACTTACTAAACCTTCACAGTGGTTTGAAGTAGGTCTGTGGTCTGTAGTTCATCACAAACTAACACAGTAGAGGTGTAGGGACCTTCTTTAGTTAGTAACTCATTTGGTATACATCCAATTGTTATTTTCTTGGTTGGCCACTTTGTTTTCAGGTTTCTTCAAGTGATATATTTGGTGGCCTGCTGTTGCAGTCTCCATCTCTGGATGATTTTGACCAAAGGGAGATGTTTTGTCTTTATCTATTCCCAGGGATCAACCACGGTAGGAAGGTTAGTAAGCAAACCCGAACTTTATTTTAACAATTCCTATTCCATCAGACCTTCTAAGGATATCTTGTGTTCTTTTTTCTGAGGGGCATGTTGTTGTGTGAGGTATAAATTTGATTTTTGAATATGGTTTCATTTTCATTCATGTTGCATTCAGGATGTATGTTATTTTTTGAGTTTTACACCAAACAATCAATTTTTTTTTTATGTTTTCAGATACAACTTGGAATTGGGTGAAACCTGGCCTTCTAAATTCTTTTTAGCCTCAGGACTAGTTTTTACGACTGAAAACTCTAGATAAGTCAAAGATGTTATAAATCAGAGATCAACAATGTTACAAGCTTGTTCTTTCTCTTTACCTTCCTATATTCCCACATGGCAGAGTACTCTATGAGCTGACCTCATTGAACCTGATGGGTTGAGTGTCCTGTAACTATTATTGTTTTATGAAGTGGTACTTGCATGATTCAGTACTTGTAGCTATGGCAATATTCCTTTCCTCACCCATATTAGTGAATCTGATAGGTTTTCAGAAAGGAAGTGGTTTTTGTAGTTGATATTAGTGGTAGCATGCGAGATGGCCCTCTTGAGAATACAAAAGATGCAGTACTGGCAGCCATCTACAATCTCAACCCAGAAGATTCTTTTAACATCATAGCTTTCAATGGTACTACTTCATTATTCTCACCGTCCATGCATCTGGCAACCAAGGAAGCAATCGAAAATGCTGCTCAGTGGATTAGCGTAAATTTTATCGCGGAGGGAAGTACCAACATTTTGCTTCCTCTAAAGCTGGTAATTACAAATCTTCAACCTGCTTAAGTAAATATTCTCACCTCATCTTCCAGAAAAAAAAAATATTCTTAACTTGTTTGGCTCTTTTGGCTATCACTGGCTTCTGATATTGGGTTGTTCACTCTGTAAACTTCCATTTGTACCATGTCAATGAGAAATGCTAAGGGCTGTCTAATTATTAGAAGAGATAAATATAAAGTGTGTAATTCACTTTTCTTCATGCCTTGTTCATCTAAGCCTTTTTACCTAGATTAAAATGTGTTAACTGTTCATGTCTGGCTGAGAGCAGCACAGCCATGGTGACATGGCATTTTTGGTTCCTTTTGTGTTTTCCTTATTGGACACATCATGTGGAACAATGATGCTTATGTAGTTGTCTCTCTCATGTAGAGTATCTGATTAATATCACACACCATTCTCATTGTCTCACGTCTCTTGTAGTTTCATGGTTGAAGTTCACATCTGCATGTATTGACTCTTTTGGTCAGGCAATAGAGATGCTGGCCAAAGTTGGTGACTCAGTTCCTCTAATTTTCCTTGTTACTGATGGGGCTGTTGAAGATGAAAGACAAATTTGTGCTCTTATGAAAGGTCACTTGATGAGTAGTGGATTGAATTGTCCTCGAATTTGCACTTTTGGCATAGGTGAGGCTGTTGTTATTTTGGTTTCACTTTTGTTGTTACAATAGTCTATGGTATCCTATGCTCTTAAATGCTTATATATCATGGGCAAAAGTGTCATCTTTCATGTGCATGCATGGTGTGTGTACAATTGGGTATTTTCATAGTTGTGGATATTACAAAAATGGATGGAAAAAGGAAAGAGACATTTTCCTGCCAAATTAATGTGCACTTTCAAACGTGTTATGCGGCATGTGGCCATTTGAATATTATGGTTTGTAAAAGAAACAGCATTCCCTACGAGCAGCATGTTAATTTACATCATCTTGGCATAATGATCCTACTGTTTTGATAAGCTTTAAGTGACATACTGGTAATGATGTTCCAATGGATTTTGATTTCATGATTTACTGGACTGAACTCAATATATTGAGATGTACATTTTCATTTCCTATTTTTTGGGGGGAGGTGGGGTGCAATATTTGCGTTCAAGTGATGTAGCATTTTAGGCCGATTATTTCCATTTGTGATGTAGGTTGGACATGGTCAGCCCAGAAAATCATTTTGCTCATAGATTTTACATCCACTTCTTTGGCTCATCTAAACATGAATTTTTTTCATTATCCTTTGCTTAGGATCATGCATGTTATTAAATCTTTTCTCAGCATACATTTCCTCACTTCCTTAATTTATATCGTTTTTTGGTTTTCCCCTTCACCTTATTTTCACCTCCAACTGTCCTGTGTCACTCCTTGCGATTGGTGTGGGTGCTACCAAACCATGGTAAACATCAGTTTCCCATATGTTTCCTTGTTTTTTCTACCCCAAGTTCCAATAATATTTTCTTCACAATTCTGTTTTTACATTTCTCATCTTGACTTGTGCATTTCAGCCGTGGTCATTATATACAGCAATGTTGTAATATCTTTATTTATTGGGAGTTTCTGACTGATTTGATTGTTTGAGCTTGTGTTTCAGGCTCATATTGTAACCATTACTTCTTGCAAATGCTAGCACAAGTTGGAAGGGGATATTATGATGCTGCATTTGATGTTGGTCAGTTGCAGAATTGCCGTTATCATGTCTCAGTGATTTATTTCATTTTCTTCAACAAAATGATATATTCTTTTTAAAATGATTTAGTTATTGAACCGTTTGTGAAAACTTTGATACTCTCTATCGGCCAAAATGTGGGACCCTCCTTGGGAATCCAACTTTCTAAGGAATGTATTCTAATCGTGGTGGGAGGCCTTTAATTTCCAACATTATCATTCTTTAAAATTTGATTTTTTATTTTTTGACACTTCTCACAAATTTGAAATAAGGATATAGTGGGAATGTTCTGTGAAAAAATACATTGACTTTTCAAAATGGACTTCGATTTTAGGTGTGTTATAAAAAAAAATTGGATTTAGCATCGGACGGTGGGAATACTACTACATTACAGTGAAATAACTAGAATCTATTGGCAATGGAGCTTTGTTACAACTGTACTGTCAACTTTGTCAAATGACGTACTTGCTCTTCACTTATTCCTTCCTAGAAGCCTATAAGGCATGTAGTGGTTTTAGATAGAAAAATTTTAGTGCATAGAGCTCCCAACCTAGTTAAGAAATCAGATTCTTGGAAATTCCCTGAAACAGTGAAACTCAATATTTCAAGTTATGAACTACTAGAATGAAATTTGAATAAACTGACAAAAAGGAAATTGATTTTGAAATTCATTAACAAGGGCAGTTTGCCAGTTTCTGGTTAGTAAGAAATCTGACTTCATATTATTTTCCGCTTATTGTTGATGTTCATTTGGCCAGATTCAATCAACACCCGAATGCAAAGGCTACTTAATAGTGCATCCTCAATCATTCTTGCAAGTATAACCATTGATGCTCTTGAACATCTTGACTCACTTGAGGTACTTTGATCCTGAACAACTCTTCCTCCTCTTCTTCTTCTCCACATGCTACTAGTAGTACTACCTTTTTCTGTGTCGTTTTTCTTTTTCATTCTGTTTTTTAACTTCCTGTTTTCTTTGGGACACTTCTGTATTCATGCAAATGATGAGTGGAATTGCCTATAAGCACTTGGATCTGCCATCACGAATTAGTGTAATAATAAAACACCATTTGCTCATAATCTCGTAATTTGTGTATTGGGATCTGTTTGTACAGTATTTTGACCTTTTTTTTTTAGTTGCACTTTCTTTATGATACTTATTGGTGGCTCCATAAGATGGCGGGTTGGGACGCGTAAGGAGAAGGCCAAACATCATTTTGTGAGTTTAAGGTTTCAAATCCAAGTGTTGAAGACTAAAAGGGACAGTGATAATGTAAAAAAAGGAAAACCTGGACTCTTTGTTATCAATTTAAGAACAGTGCTGCAGCAGGAACATTGAAATCATTTAGTATATCTTTACCATGAAAATCATCACAGGTTTCAGCTTTGATGATTATATGCTTTGTTTTCTGCTTATCACTATTCTTGTCTGAAGTTATGTCTAGTTTGTATTTTATATGCCGTTCATTGACATACTTGGTGCTTAACCAGCCAGCTATGAAGTAACTCACGGGACCTTTAACTAATTTATTTGTTAATGGATTTCACTGCAGTTGTATCCTGTTCATATTCCAGACCTTTTGTCTGGAAGTCCATTGATTATGTCAGGCAGATATCACGGGAACATTCCTGACTCAGTTAAAGCAAGTGGGACTTTGGCAGATTTGAGCAATTTTGTGATAGATGTGAAAGTGCAAAAAGCAAAGGACATTTCTATCGACAGAGTAATGTTCCAACTCCTATACTTGGTGTTCACTGAAGTTTTTATAAAATTTGATCAATGCTTGCCATTATGATTTATGAATCTATCATAAGAGTTGTTCTGATCTTTTAAAAAAAAAAATTATCCTCATACTCACGCTAGCTGTCACTCAATTTATAACTAGGCATTTGCATCTTTATTTTTTATTATTTCCCTAACAAGCTCCTTACATTGCTTATGATCTTGTTTCTCTTAACACTTTAATATCTATTTTTTTCCGAGTTATTGAAAGTAGTGATATTTACTTGTACAATTTCGGGGAATCAAAACATTTTGGGAAATCAGGACATGAAGCCAAGTTTTACAAAGAAATGGAAGCTAGGAATTTATCCTTCAGAATGGTGGCATTGCTGTTGATGTAGCTCCCTTTTTAATTTTTTTGACCAACTCAAATGATAAAATTTAGCGTTAGCACAATAATGCATTTGAAATTCATTGCTAGAAATTTGGACAGTAGTGCACCTTTTCTCTCTAATTGTTTTTTCACCAGCAGGTATTTGCAAGGAGACAAATTGATATACTCACAGCTCATGCATGGTTGTCGGATAGTAAACAACTAAAGGACAAGGTTTGTTGCTATTTTCTTGATTTCCAATTGAAAATGGATCAATAATGGTAAATGGAGATGATATGATGCCTGAAGCTGAATAAGAAATTACATTTGATTGATATGATAGACTTCTAAAAGTAAAAAATAATGAGTTGAAGTTTGCTTTAAATGACTAATTCAAATAAGTTTGGGATAGGAAAAAGTTTATTTTTTTGCCACCTTCATGACATTTAGTTGAAGTCTGATGATCCTCAAAGCAGTATAGGTCATCAATCATCATGACATTTATTTCTGCCTCGGGTGTTTGCCATATCTTTTCTACCATCTTGGAGGTTCTTGCTACGCCATATAGCCGTGAATTGATAGTTATGTATGCCAGATAAAATAAGTTAGTGCAATCATAGTTTTGTACCCTTGTGTGAGCATGATATGCATGTTCATGTTATGTTTGATGCAATTGTTTGAATTGTGTTCCATGCTTGCAGGTTGCAAAAATGAGCATGCGAACAGGGGTACCTTCAGAGTATACCCACATAATTCTTGTTCAGACCAATCAATCTTCTAACTCAGTTGTAACAGTTGAGGTATGCTACCTATGCCTAGTCAGTTGGTCTTACTGCTTCACTTTTTTGGTGACTGGCAAGTAGAGAACTAATATCACATCTTTTTTCAAAAATTGCAAAAATAATTACCTGGGGTGCGAAGCGATCAGATCCTAGGTTTGTCTAAACAAATCTTGTCCATAATTTATCTCTTAAATGGCATATACAGAAACTGAAATGTTTCTGTAAAATTTTGTATGGAATATAAAACCCAAAAATGTGCGAAAGTAGCAGGTTGGTTGGACAGTTTTTTATGTCAGCACTTGTTAAACTACTGTCTTTAGGCATCTGAATGTCCCAAAGGTTTTATTGACTTGTTTCAAAATTTTATCAAAAACTGATGCAGAATATAGCCCATTTGGATGGCAAGAAGTTCATTGCCCTGCAGAGTTCGGGTATTGGCTTTGGCAACTTGTTAGCCACTGCTGAGAATCTTCCTCCAGGATCCAAAGTACCCAAGTTAGATGAATCTACAGGATTGATCATGAAAACCGCTTCAAACTGTTGCGGCACGCTACTTGATTTTTGCTGTTGCATGTGTTTTATCCAGTTTTGTTCACGACTAAATGATCGATGCGCAGTTACTTTCACACAGCTTTGCGGTGCCCTTGGATGTTTTGAGCTCATCAATTGCTGTTTTGAATTATGCGTTTCATGCGACCAATTCTGCTGAGGAAGTAGGAATTGAACATGAAGTACCAAATTATGGTAATACTATGTACATATGGTGTTTTCTACAATAATATATCGATATAAATGAAGTTGTTCAGAATATTTTCCTTGTGATTGTGATCAGTCGGTCTTTAGGGGGAAGAGAATGTAATTGCGAGTTATCAAATGCATCATACCTGAATGATCATAGGCCAAAAGTGGTTTGTTTATTAGTTAGACATGTGGTCGTGGCACGGGAGTCGTATGATTATTTTGGTCATGATTCAGATGGAATGCATCATAAATCGGGGCAATTGCACAAGCCATATGCTCTCGTTGATTACCCGAGGACTACCGCTAGAAGGCATTGTCACCGTGACTTGGTGCCTAATGTGTTTCATGGAAAGGAATGAAACGAACAAGAGTCCCCGTAGACTTCTCTGATCCCACTAGTGTCTAAAGTTGGATTTCCATTTGATCTTATTTAAATGATTTAAGAAAGCTTGGTTTAAAATCTCGGTGGAAGCAAGAGTACGTCATGTTAATGTGCCTTGAATGATCTCTATCACAAGGGTTAATTCCATATCGCTTTAATAAGTGGGTGAGGTACTTGGCAAATGTTGAATTCGTAGTAACATATGTGGTGTTGAAAGCCACAATGATTAACTATTTCCCACGGTCCCTATGAAAACGAAGCGGGATGCCACAGCCTTGTGTTCCAAGGGGACGAAGAAAAGAAAAAACACCAACCGTATATTGACTTTCAAGGTGTTCTTACAACATGACATATGATTTGACGTCGATTCTCATCAACTGCATAATAATTTTTATATTATATTTTTTGTAATTTGTTTACTTGTAGAATTAGGTATAAAAGAAGAAATTTCTTGTGTTGTTCATTTGGCTAGAAATATTACCCAAAAAAAAAAGGCAAAGAAAAAAAAGTTTACAAGAGAAGAATGATTGATTGTCCATTGGTTTTAGCTCGTCTTGTGTAATAATTTTAAAAAAATGATGTTATTTGAATTTTTAATTTATTGATCTAATTTATTATAATTATTAAATTAATAATAAATTTTAATATTAAATGTGAAATCCCACTGTGAATCTAATAAATATTTAGAATTAAATTATAGCATTATTGACTTTAAAATTGTGAAGAGGACATGTTTAGACGGATTTGGTATTTTATTGTCCAGTAATTGGGTCAGGTTTCTGTATGTAATGAGTATGACCGCAGGAAGTTGAGGCCCAAGCTTCGTATCCACGACAGTAGTCCTTGTCCGTATAAACTCCCCTACGCCTTCAGACCAGCGGATCCGCTCTGTCTACGCGAGAGTGTGCACGTGTCACTACTGCAAAGCGCTATATATTCACTTCACGCCCTTTGGTTTCGAGCTCTACTTCTCTTTTTCCTCTCGCTAGCTCGGGTTCAATTATCTGTTGTTGAATCTATATATGGTAACTCGATCCTCATGTGTTGATCTAACAATAATATTGTTGCTGGAGTCTTAATTTTCAGTTTGATGCTTCAAATGACTCCCCGATGGATTCGCAACTTTGATATATTTCTGCTTTTCTTCCTTCTCGTTGCTGCTTTCTTCGTTAGACACAGGTGTGAGCAAATGCTAGGGTTTTTTCATCTTGTTGACTTCTATGTTGTAATAATTCTTGTAGTTTACAACTGTTAGCTTCAAAGTGGTTTTAGATATTCAGAAGTTTTATCATCCATTCAATGTTGCAATCTAAATTTGCCAACTGAAAATGGTTGTGGTTTCACTGGAGTTGGACGATTCATTGTCTCTGTATTCTGATTGTTTGTGCTTTCACTGGGATTCTGTCAATTAGGTTATAAGGCACGGGTTTGAATTGCTCTGTGCCAGTCTGCCAGATCTTATATTGACTGATTTCGATAAAATTGTCTTTTTTCTCTCACAAGTAATTCCATTTTTGTTTTAAGTTTTAGCTCATATATGCTATATTAGTTATCTTATTTGCCTGATACCTTAAATGCTTCGAGAATTGTAGTTCAGGGGATGTAATTACGGAAAAGGCGAGCACATTAGCAATGATAAAACCAGATGGAGTGGCTGGTAACTACACAAATGTGATAAAACAAATTATTTCTGAGTCTGGCTTCAGAATTACTAGGGAAATGATGGTCCAGCTTGATGAGGATACGGTGACAAGCTTTTATGCTGAGCACTCTTCGAAGAGCTTCTTTCCAAGCCTTGTGAAATACATGACGAGGTATCTTCTGCTATCTTGATTCTAAGAAGCTTCATTTTTCTTTAAAAACATTGCACTCTCCAATTTATCATGCTTTGTGGAAGTAATGTTTAGTTGTATTGTCTTAATTACTTGAGTTGTGCTACTTTTTTTTTTCTGTGTAAATGTCTGTGCAATGTTGAAATTATTTCTTCATTTGCTGATTTGCTCTAATTCTTATTTTACATCTTCTTATTGTTAATCTTAGTTTACATTATAAAAATCTTTTCTCCATATGCTATGATAATTTCCTGTTAAAATTGACAGGATACAGCCATTTTAAATGGTACAGTTTTATACATGCTACCTTTTATGCCTAGTGGTTGATCAGTGACAGTTCAACCGGTATCCTGCTTTTTTTCTGCATGACATTCCAAGATTTTACCATTGCCAACGGCAGTGGTTGCAAATTTGACCTGACCTTTAGCCTAGGATTTGCTAGAGATAGTACTTTGAAGTATTTTTCCAGTCAATGAGTTTGTAAACACTGCTAGAGAAGCCTCATGGTTGCACCTGCATGCATTATTGCCTTTAAATATAACTATGTACATTTTCGAGCATTATTTGTTTCTTGATACTCTTGCAATTTGAAAACAAAAAAATTGGTGGCCCTGTAATCTGGATTTTGTTGTAGCTCTCCTATTAAATTTAACAGATGTTCAGATTTGCTCTCTCTCTCTCTCTTACACATAATCATAAATCAGCGGCTCCATATTGATTATGGTTTTGGAGAAGGTGAATGCTGTCGCTGATTGGCGTGCTTTGATTGGACCAACGGATGCACGCAAGGCTAAGGTTACCCATCCTCACAGGTTATTTATTTACTCATTGTCTTCTGTTGTGCTATCTTTCGAATCTCTCTTGTTCAATTTCTAGTAAGTTGAAAGTTTCTTACCAATTTGTTCTAGAATTCTGAACTTACATATGGTGCTATTAATCCTATTCCTATGATATGATTTGTCAATGCCTACTTTCCTGCCATGACTTCATGGTTTAAATTCTGTTTTTTGACCTTACTTCCAGCATCAGAGCCCTGTGTGGACTTGATTCAGAAAAGAATTGTGTTCATGGTTCAGATTCACTTTACTCTGCTGCTAGGGAGATATCCTTTTTCTTCAAAGAAACATATTCAGGTACTTTAATGAGCTCAAGTTTTTGAATAAAAGATTTATGATGATAAGACAAACATTTTTATTGCTGTAGCTACTTATTAAATGCTAGACAAATGAAGTCACCAATCTGGTTGGAATTGTGGTAATCCTCGTATGACTTGTTATTTTCTGGGTCAATGTGCACTAAACCATATGATATTTAGCAATATGACATTTTCTCTCCCTCCCTCCCCCAAAAGCAATACTCTGTCTCTTAATTGTGCATGCTAATTAATTTACCTCCAAAAATAACTATGTTGATTATATAGTGGAGAAAAGAGTAAATGAAGAGATACTCATATCTTAAGCTTCCAGTCTAAATCACCTTCCAGATAATGCAAGAGTAACAAATAAAGCTACAACTCAACAAAGCTTTATCGCAATTTTTTTTTTGGTTCGGCTGTATGAATCATATTCTTCCATTGTGCTTTATCAAGGATCATATTTTGTGTTAAATTGCAAAAGTTATCATATCTTTTTTAACTATTTTATTCAAAGTAAATATCAATCTACCTCTCGTATTGTCATTTGTAGGTATCTCATCACTCTTTCTTACTAGTGTAGTTATTGGTCTTCTATATGCATCTCCAAACGAACTCAGTCTATTCTCTCTTAATTAATCTTCTATTAGTGCTAATTTTATTGTCTTCTAACATTGTAACTATTTAGTGCATGCAATGAATTCAGTTTGTGGATAAGTTCCTTTTTAGATTGATAAAGTTATGCTGCTGCCTGGGATTGTTCTGGCTAAGCATTGTGATTGATAATGATGAACAAAAAACATAAATAGGTGCTATTAGCTAATTACACTTCTTGTTCTGGGGCGTCTTAAGGTGGTCTTTTCATTCTTCTTAGTTGTTTTTCTAGATATTTGGGATACTGCATTCTGGATTTGCTGAAGATATTTTTTCTCATAGCTTATTTTGTTGTGCTCCATTTGGTTGAAGACAAAAAGAGAGCAGAGATACTTAAAATCTTAAAACCACCATCCCAGCCCTAAACATTTTGTAAGATTCCATATAGTCAGGTTATTTCTATTTTTTTGCTAACCAAAGTGTGGACCACTCCTTATTTGCGTAATTTATATGAGAGCATATTATATGTGGTTCAGTATGACAGTTAACGTTTAAGGCATTCTTCCCTTGAGTTTGCATTCGACTTAGATATTTGTTGAAGGCAGTAATGAGCAGATACTAAGTGGTGGTGGTGGTGGTTTATGAAGGGGATAGTTATTCTAATTGTTTTATTTTCCATTACAGGGGGAGAAGTTCCAAAGCATGATGAACTGTAAATTCTATACACTCAAAGCAGAACCATATGCCATTATTTAATCTCTTCACCAAATTAACCATACAACTTGCCAAAAATGGATAAGTGGTCATGACCACTTATCCATTTTGCATTTTAATCAACTGCTTCCTCGCCCTTTTTCCGGCTATCCTAAAATTCTGATTTGTGGTGTTTGCCACAGCTTTTGTGGAATTATCTAAACTATAACTCTGCTGTAATGTATGTAAATTGTCAAAGTGGATTGGTCAAACCTTTGACAAATATTCAATTTCACTGCTGCCATGTTGTGGACCCATTATGGAGATTAGAAATTTGTGACTATTAAGTTTGTTGGGCTAATTATTCAGTTGATAGAAAATTATGGGTGGATGCAAGTAAAGCGAGCTTGATCTTTCCTTTTCTTCTTGTACTTTGTACACTGAATTTACAATTATTTAGAGGTTTGTATTGAGGTAAAGTAACTCTGAAGTCTCCCTTCACTGGTAGGGATGTCCAGTGTGCCTTAACTTATGTTGGAAAATTGGCATATTGTGTGGTGAGAAATTGCATCAGTGGTAGTCCCGTCTAAGATAGCTGGGGAATAATGTGTCTTTCTGCTTGGGCGGTTGAACCACAAGATATCAGTTTTTTATACACCAAGTGTGATTGTAGTAGTAGGATTTTTGACCTCCACTCTCTCACTATTGGAAAATCTACAATATTAAACTTATGAGTCCTGATTGATCAGAAGGACATGTAACCTGTTAAAACTTGTGTCATTTTTCGAATGATCTTTTAATGATGTTTTGTATTACAGTCAATCTAACTGCCTGAAAGATATGGATTCTACTGAGTCAAAATTGATTGAGATGTGTGCATATACTGATCTGTTTTTCTTTCAATATCATTTGGTGGTGTAAATGGTCCTGGGCATGTGAATTGCTTCGTGTAAAGCGATGTTTACTGTTTACCCTTTGGGTTTTGTCTGTACATTGTTCTTCTTCAGAATTTATACTGTTAATTTGTTTATAATCTGCCTTAATTTACGAGGTTTCTAGGATCCACCTTGCAAAATTAAATATTTGACCTGAATTATAGGAATTAAACTATTTGTGTGATCGCTTGAAGATCCAATGAAATAGGAGCTAGTCAGACTGTGATCATGGCTCCCACTTTATGTATGGAGGATAGAGGTCCACATCGTTCTGTGTCTTTCTTTATTTAATTTAAATTAGGGCGTAAAACATTCTAGATTTGGCAACTCTCGTTAACAATTGCAAAATATAAGGTTGGGTTTCTAAACACTAGGCATCTAGTAGTTGCACTCACTCTTCCCCAACAAAAAGTTGGAATCTTGATGGTAGCGATTCTCCTAGACTCCCTTTTTCACTTTCCTCCTAGCGTGCATCTCGATGAATATTTAGAACTTGAGGGAAGCTTCAGAGTAACTTGGTGACGAGTTGGGTGAGGCTATCAGCAAATAAAATTTGTATTGATTAATAAACTGCTCCATCAGCCTAATTGTTGTGGTGGTTGTGGTTGAAATTGATGACTTGAGCATGGTAATTATCTTGGTTTTTGGAAGGATGTCGAGGGGGAATGATTTTGGCACAAATTAAACAAAAAGAATTCTTTCTTGTCCTGAAGGCTATCCTTGGCAGAAACTTCTTCATCTAACGAATCGCCAGGCAATTGAATCACGTACTGAAGAAGGTCAGGTGTACCAAGAAAAAAAAAGAAAAGAAAAATAGCTGCCAAGACGGCCATTAAACCTTATACTTGATTCCAGGTTGCTTTATGAAGAGATTTTATGCGTATCAGGAGGCCAATTTCCTGAGGTGATGCTTTAGCAAGACAAGGATGTATCAAGGGATTTTGATTTTTAAATTTTTGATTCTATACCGTGTATGTATGGAGGACGTAATTGTAGTGAAAGCTGATGGGGGTGAGATACCCCTTTAATAATTTTAAGAGACAAAAAGTTTCCTTGTGCGTCAAATAACTCGACTTTTTTTAGAATTAGTCTCTCTAATTGGTTATATTTTATCTTTTTCGAGCATGATTTTTGTGCACTAGATCTTATCAAAGAAAAACAAACTCAGATTTTGGACCACAGAAACATTTTGTTTTATTTTTTATTCATTAGCAACAAAATTTACATAGAATCAGGACTTGCCAGGCACTTATACCTCCCTTATTATATTGGCGCTATTGGAAATATTCGGCATGGCATCGGCTCGAATTCACCAGCAGATATTTTCATTTCATTATGTGTGGTAACGTGATTGAAACCCACCCTCAAATCGTATCTACTGAAAACCCCGTGTCAGCTGCCTCACCGTTGGATGAAAGAACTTTTGAGACTGATTACAGCTTTTTATTTACTTAAAAGGTTGCCTCAGAATTAGCATATCATAATCTAACGGATTAAATGGGTGCCGCGAGTAGTTATTACCCTGTAATAGAAAGCAAGCCTGTGTATCATCCATTGAGAGCAGCTAGGTCACTCACTATAAAAGGATAATTAATGTCTTCATGGTAGTGGGATAGAGGGGACTGATTGGATGTAAACACATACAGAAAGGGAAGTTGCTGTCAATATAAGAAGAAGCTGATCAGCTTGGCCATGGTTTTCCTAGCAAACCCTTGTTTGTTTATTACTTCCACAGCTTAACTCCCATTGGCTTGTAGGATCTGCCTGTGAAAACCTGACTTTTTTTTAAGCCCAAAGCCTTACTGTACCAAGCCTCCGCGGGCACTATCACCATTCACCACCGTAGTCCACCCGCCACCTTTCCACAGGTTTTGAAGAGCTTCGCTGCAGTAGTTCTACTTCTATCGTTCCAAAATGAAGGTGAGAGCAAATTGTCACTGTAAAAGTTTTTTAGTTATTGTTTAACGTGTACATACAAGTGGAATGCTAATTTGTTATGGAGTTTTGATCTGTTTGGTTGCAGATCTTTAGTTGGATGCAAAGTAAGCTTAATGGAGGACCAGGAAACAGAAAGTCCAATGAAGTTTCTGCTACTACTCGTAAGTCACTCTATATTGTGTTTATATATATATACATGCTTATTATGTAGTCTGTGAATGTTCTAAAAAAAGACCCAAAAATAATAATAATTTACATTTATTTGTTTGTTAAATAAAGTATTCATTTCTATATATATATATATATATATATATATATATCAAAAAAATATGAATTTGGATACTAAAACTAAGTTTGGGATGTATATTATTTTGATCAAAATAAAGGTTTGAGAATTTGAGACAACATCTTACGAAGAAAAATAAAAGATTGAAGTTCCTATATATCGAGTTCCTTTTTTTTTTGTAATTCAAACAAGCAAGAAAGAGTGTGTTAGTTATATATGTCTAGCCAGATTTGGATCTCATTGTAATCAATTAGAATTTGAATTCGATTAAAAAGTTTCGATCTGTATTCAGATCCAGATATCCAATGAATTTTATTTTCGTAGCTCACATTTGAATTCGTTAAGAATCGGGATATTCAATCTGATTATCCAACTCAATCCAAATATCTTAAGTTATTTTTTAATATATTACATCTAAACTTCAATACAATTTTATCAAAGCATACTTCTTGATTTTTTTCCTCATGAATTTCACAGTATGATTTCTTTTTCGTTTGTCTTTTCATTTCAATAATGACTTCTATCTCTCTCTATATATATATAGATCATCCAAAGCTAGAACCTCCAAGAGAAGAGTTCAGCGACTGGCCTCATGAATTGCTTGCAATAGGAACTTTTGGTAACAGCACTAATGATGTAAAACAAAACCACCCAGAAAGCCAAAGTGATAATCATCTTCAAGATAACCACCACCCCTCTTCCTCTGAACAAGATCTATCAGAATTCACACCCGAAGAAGTAGGAAAGCTCCAGGAAGAGTTGACAAAGCTCTTATCTCGAAAACCAACTTTCAAAGTAGAAGCAGAAACAGAAACAGCTGATGGCCTCCTCCCATTGGATAAGTTTCTTAATAGCCCTTCAAGCTTGGAGGTTGATCGTAGGCTCTCTGTAAACACGTCCTTCAGTACTGTCTCGGATGAAGAAGATATTGAGCGAACTATTAGAATAATACTTGGTAGATGCAAAGATGTTTGTGTTGACAACAAAAAGAAGGCTATTGGGAAGAAATCGATTTCTTTCCTTCTCAAGAAAATATTTGTGTGCAGAGGTGGTTTTGCTCCTGCTCCAAGTTTGAGGGATACACTTCAAGAGTCAAGAATGGAGAAGGTAATTCATTTGATTGATTGGAACAGATTGACCTAAATTGAAAAGTTATTGTATTTCAACTATATTATTTTTCAAAATTTCCTTTTAGTAATATTTCGTTTGACATCGTGATATTCTACTCTACCGCAGCTTTTAAGAACATTCCTCTCCAAAAATATGTTCCCTGAAAATTGTTCTCGAGCATCATCCACAAAGAAATACCTCGATTACAGTTGGGGGCGAAGGACTGATGGAGAAGATGAAACGCGGGAGAAAACAAATGATGGATGTAAATGGGTTAAGACTGATTCTGAATGTAAGTCAAATTTGTAGTTTATATGCTAGCTTATTTTCATCCTGTTGATTAACACATACCCATACAGATTAATGCACCTTTCGAGAAGCTTGAAAATTCCAGTATTGACAGTTCCCAGTTTCCAAGTTGCAGATATTGTTCTAGAGATTTAGATTATATGCCAACCTCTCTTCAGTTGTGTTAAATTTGCAAGTTCAACAACAACCCTTTTTGAGCTACATTGCAAGAAGACAGAGGTCTGGAATTCGTAGTGTTCAGATTGATTGGGGCCGAGGTTGAAGCTTCTAATTACGTGCAGATATCAAAAAATCCATATTGTCAGGGGGCTGATGAAGTGAACATTTATTGTACAGTTAATGGGAAGCAGCTTTGTGCCTATGTGATCAATATTGTTCAGGTATTTCTGTAGTATGTACCAGAGAAGGTAGACAATTTCTACAAAGTCTGTAAAATAGTTTGAGGCCGATGTGTTGAATTGACATCATATGGAGATTTTAGACTGATTAAAGCTTCAAATTGATTTACCAGAAGAAGAAAGAAAAAGCTTAAATTTATACTACATGTGTGGGATGATTTATCCCATCTTTGGGCAGGTTAGATTCACTGCTGGAACTGAATGTTCGTTCAAAAAGGCAAATAGGTGCTTCTGGCTTCAACATCATGGACTCGGATCATATGTAGCTTTAACATTTTATCCTCTCTCTTACCAGATCAAGGAATATAAATCATACCACTTTTAAAAATATATTAAACTTAGGCTTGAAAAATATTGTATTACAAGAACTTATGACATACCAAAATCTTTGCATATTTCCTTGAAGGATATCTATTAACATTAAAATCTACCACCAAATTGGCATGAAAATTAAGTATGAATTTAGTCCTCATAAGTAGGTTTGACCAAGCAAACCTATCTTTTGAACAAATTGATCAGACATAATTATGCACGACGTGTAAACGATACAAATACAAATATATATTTTAACTCTATACCTTTTAGGCAATAATTATGCACGACGTGTAAACGATACGAATACAAATATATATTTTAACTCTATACCTTTTAGGCAATAATGATTCGACACTTTGCCAAACCCTTACATATAGGCTTACGTCTATTATTTTTACCATTAAAATGTAAGATTTATATACTTGGTGACTGCACATGTCCATAATTGTTGCACAAAGCACTAATTAGTTTTGGTAAGGTTTGTAAATCATATTGGGTAAGGTAAATTTGTATTGGGGTTTAGAAGATTTGTGTCAAAAAGTATTTTATCCATACACTATTTATTTATTAATTCGCATATAATTAGTTGTGTTATATCGATTTCGTGTCGTATATAAATCGTATATAACTGGTATATAAATAAATCGTGTTGTATATTTTTTTTATTGGTTTCATTTATACCTGATTTGTTTATTAATCGTGTCGAATTGGGTTAGAACCATTTGTTTACAAATTAGGTGATTTAAGGAAGAACTAAATTTTCTAATTTTATATAATTTTAACTAATCGTATCATATTTTTACGCCCCTAATTTTAATAATTCTTTTGCATGTTTTGTGTCGTACAATTCTTGTTTGGATTCTAATGGAAGATGTACCCATCTATTCGTGGAGCGTCACTTTTGTGATACCAACACATTATGGAAAGTACAAAAGTCATTGTAAGAATAAAGAATTGGGAAAAAGTTGGTGAAAGTCAATCCGAAAGAAGACACTTTCGCCGGACGACATGTTTAAGTGCTCTACTCACAAGGCACTAAAGTCTCATTGGGAAAAAGGGAGGCAAAGTTAATTTAGTGAGAGTGGGGAGTTAAAAGAATTACTAATTTTGTGGGCTATTTTGAAAATACGAAAAAATTAAGGGGCTTATCATATAAATTTCAACAAGCTGAGAATTAGGAACTCTAGTAAAAGGAGGAGGGTAATGACCCCTCTCGCGTTATATCATACGTGCCTCCGCCCCAGATTTGGGGATAGGCAAAACAAAGTTAGGGTTTCTAGATCTGGACGACCGCCTCTGAATTCCAGGTTTCGTCTTCAATTAGGTCGACTGTAGTGTTTGGTGGGTTCTTTGTGGTTAAGTTGGACTTGTAGAGATTTGGATATAATAGTGAAGAGTGAGTGTGGTGGGGGCATCGGAGCGATTCTGAGCTGCCAATGCCATTTGTTTCGTGTTCGGAAGATTTTTTCGGTGATTTTTGGAATACCGAAAAAGTTTGAGCTCAATGTCTTGGGCAGGTCCGGAAGACGTTTATCTAACTACGTCTCTTGCGAGCTATCTTGATAGTAAGATTTCTCTTTATTTTCTTGTTTTAGCTTACGCTTTGGACTGATAACATGTTTTCCTGAGCTATTTAGCTGGTTTAGTTCTCTGAATTTTCGTTTTTCGGTATCTGGTTTTGGAATCTCTCCGAGCAGTACCATAGGTTTTTGGATAAAGTTCTCGTTCATGTTATGGGCCTATAATTTGTGCATATGGGTTTTCTGTCAGAGTTCTTAAGTTTTTCATGCTGTTTATATAAAATTACAAACAACGCCAATTGCACGGGTGAAAAATCTTATTGATGGGTTTATCATTGAAACTAATGGATAAATTTTTCCCATTTTGGTCTAGTAATTTGAAGCTTACATAAAAATCATCGAGATGGATAGGTGTAGAAGGGTCCTTTTTTTTTGAACTGGAGGTGTAGAAGGGTTGGCGGGGAACAATTTGTTCACCAGATGAAATGTTACCTTTGTGGATCATATGACGTGTGTGTAAATTTGTAGCAGTTAGAAAAGGAGATTCCTTTGACGTAAATATCAAGGTTGCTTTTTTTTTTTTACTAATCTTCTATGATAGTGAAACCTTTACTGGTTTATAGTTAGGTTGTTATTGAGCTCTATCTGCTTAAAGGAATACATTAAATGTCCTATGGTATAGAAATTGAGAAAAGGAATCAAAGTTACATTTTTGTCAAAGGCTAGAATATAGAATTATTGCTTGTTTAATATGTGGATGCTTTATAGATGTATATAAAAAGGAAATTGTATATGTCTGTGACTGTAATTAGAAATTGACAGTGGCCTTGAAAACTAGGAACATGCTCAACAAATGTGATATATGGCTTCATCCTCTGAGTTGCATTATTGGTTTTAACTTATGTGACTCTGTTACGAGAAGCCAGAATAATGTTCTCCTTAATACCACTGCAACTTTGTGTTGCATTTGGACGTTTAGGGAACAACACTTATGATCACCGCGATTTTGCTAACTCAAAAGTTTTGCGGTTTGCAACGTGTATGATTGCTCAATTTATAATAAGTTAGGAAGTATCGCCATTGCTTAGATATTCACCAAATGGCTGGAAGCGTTGGAGACAATACCTAATCGAATTACTTAACCGCAAATTCTTGCAATTGAGATAACCAAAATGAGGAAAGAAAAATATGTCAGTTTATTTGACTTACTAATTCTAGTCAAAATGACTGTAATAATGGATGCATATATACTCCATGTAATTTTTTATCTACTTATATCCTAAATGTCAGATGACCCGAAAGTGGTGGTTGGATTGAAAAATATAAAAGGGACATTCTATGACCAAAAAATGGGTTTCATAGAATATTTCCATCTTTAGTTGGAAAAGACTTTCTTTGACCTCTAATCTCTACAGGTGTCTAATAAAGGTTTTTAGCCAAGATGGTTAGACCCTTTATTGACCTCTTTGATGGTTTTCTTTTTGATGAATTCTCTTGGCCTTCTTTTATGCTGCTTTTACACTGTGTCCGCGTTTTAGATTATCAGGCAAACCATTTAAAAGATGCCAATACTTGTGCACGAGTTTACTAAAGTTAAGATCTTGTTACGATGAGTATTAGATATTTAATCTTTATTACTTTTGAGAAGTTAAACATGCATCCCATATTAATAAGACTATATTTCTTGAGAGAGAGAAAGAATAAAGAGAGCACATCATATCAGATGTAGATAAGGTTAGCATGTGAAGATCCCTTTGATTTTGTAATCCTATTGTTTGTTTTTCCACAGAGAAACTACTTGTATTGCTGCGGGATGGTCGAAAGCTGATGGGGATACTTCGTTCCTTTGATCAATTTGGTAACAATTTTCTTTCTCATAGTCTTGAATGCTAACATCTGCAATGCTTGGCTATTTGACAATACTTTGATATCCACATACAGCCAATGCTGTTCTTGAAGGTGCATGTGAGCGAGCTATAGTTGGTGATCTTTATTGCGATATCCCGTTAGGCTTGTATGTAATACGTGGGGAGAACGTTGTTTTAATTGGTGAGCTGGTATGATGCCCTGTTTCTTTGGACTGTATTTCTGCACAGACTTCCTTTGATAGCTTACATTGCTGCAATAATTTGCTTTGATAACCTCATTTATCGTTTTTTCTTTAAATTCTCTCCTGGTTGGTTAGGACTTGGAGAAGGAGGAACTTCCCCCACAAATGACTCGTGTTTCAGCATCAGAGATAAAAAGGGTAATCTTCTTGTGTCTTCTCAATACATATGTTGGTGTGGATGGTATTGCACTCTGATATTTTTACTAATAAAAAAAATGATTCACTGCCATCATCTTTCACTTTGGGTCAGCCTTACTCCTATTGTTTAAATTTTTCCCCTGTCTCATAATCAATACCAGCAACATTTGAGAGTCTTCAAATTCCAGTTATATTTATGTTTCTCAGTCCGTAGTTTCTTTAGTATCAAATGTGGAGATAACAGTGCTAAGTAAACGGATTTCCAGTATCTTTTTATGGGAAGCATCGGATGAGAGATTACTTTTTAAAAAAATAAAATAAAATCATATTGAAAAAAATTAGCTTTCCAGAAAAATGTGTTGTCAAGATTTACTTTGGACCCAGTGTTTAGTTTCCGATCTTGCGCCATAGTGGCATCAAACTGTGTCCGACACCTCAACTCAAGCCAATATTTTTTTCTTCGGCTATGTGATTGGATGATCTAGCTTGGGGCACTGATTAATAACCCGCATGCATATGTGCAGTGAATTTTGGAAAACTCCATACTACTAATATCTCTTTAGTGAGCGTTGTGATGAAAAATGTTGAATGAACCTGGATGGATATGAGCCAGGACATTTTAGTTTGGAGTATTAGGGTAGTGTTAGTTGAGGCTCCCCTTTTTCCTTCTCTCAATAACGGTTTGCTCAGGGTCTTTTTTAATTAAAGGATGGGCAATTCTTTTATCTTTAAGAATTTCAATTTGGAACTTGTAATGAATCATCTGTAGCCTGGAGGGTAGAATTCACTGAATGAATGTTGTTTGGAAAGGAACAGCCAAAATCAAGCTTTGTGATATCCTAGGTTCCAGTCCTTTGTTCTTTCGTAACCAACCTTTCCTATAATTTATTTTGTTCGCGTCAGATTTTTTGTTGACTTCGACTTCCAGTGTAACAGCTGAATGTCAATATATGTTTAACAGGCACAAAAAGCAGAAAGAGAGGCTACGGATCTTAAAGGTTCTATGAGGAAGAGGATGGAGTTTCTTGATATGGACTGATGTACATGTTCATGATGTCCAGTCCTGCATTATGCATTGAGCTCATGCCATGTGTTCCGCAAATATTATCGCGGTTGGTGGATGCTAGCTTAAGAAATATATCTAATGGCTGGATGGTCATTTCTCTCTCATCAGACACAATTCACTGTAACATTCATAAAGCAATTTTACAAGGTTGGGAAGATGTTTATTTAGTTGTGTTTGATATTTCAAGTATTTTTGGTGCCTATCCTCCTCGTCTTATCTGCATATGAAGGTCGTAGATTTGGAGAAACGGCGCGGGGGAATTGGCAGTAGATCATTGATTTGCTTTATTACGTTGTAGGTATCCAAAATATTTTGGGTTTTATTTGCCTTTTATCTGTCCTGGGGGCACTTGAGTTTCTTCGCAATGACAGATTGTAGGGAGAGACCAGACCTGTGAGATAGGGTTTGGCATATTTTAATCCTTCTGAAAATAAAAGGCACCTTGGATATGGGTGGTTGTATACTGCTTTGATGAAACTTGTGTTTGGGGAATTGAATGACCAAAGCTTCTTAATACCGTTTCCTATATATATATATATATATTGCAATTTTTAAGGGGAAAAAAAAAAAAAGGTGTAAGCTTATAGGAATAACTAGGGAGTAGCATGATAATGAGTTTTTTAATATTTTTTTCAGTAATAGAGCCCTGGTTATAAATTCGAGTGGGAGAGGGGGAGTGGGTTACACAATACATTGTTGGTCAATAATGACCATGTATCATTGCGCGTAACCTTGTCCGATCTGGAACACCTATCGGTCCTCCTCTCCTAGATGTAACATTACTTGCGACCTCCAACCTATTACGAGAGAGAAGAAAACATGCAAATCTTTCACTTCCTATCCAGCTATCCTAGTAAGTAGCAGTAATTGAACACCAATGAGACAGATATTAAATTAAAAAGGGACTCATAATAATGAAGTAAATGACCACCGACTGGTTTCATTTGAATAGTACCCAGGCCAGAACCAGTTGCCCAAGTTAAAACCAGCCATTACATGGAGAGCCATAATCAGGTACTCTCGGACTCACTTGATTATCAGTGGTTGAACGCTTCTATTACTCCTTTCCTTTGACTTTTCAGTCAATGTGTCGTCAAAGAGCGAACATTTCGTGTTACAGGAAGGAGCATTGGCTAAATGCGTCGGACAGTTGCGATACTCATAATACCCATTCAATGAGTCAAACTAGAAACTTAACCAGAGTTAGACGCTGACCACATGCTATGGTTTTTTCGCCTTTTAGCTCCAGATCTCTCTGGCGCTCTCTCTGTCTCTGTCCCTCTGCGCGAAGACGCGATTCTCTCTCTCGATTTAAACTCGGCAACAGCAATGCCGTCGGCTAAGTCAATCATGCCTTTACTGTGTCTGCTCTGTGTTTTGTTGCTACGCATCGAAGCTTCAGTTCACGACTACGCTGGAGACAGATTCTTGAGCAAAGGCAATGCTTTCGTAGTCCACGGAGGAAGTGAGGGAATTTACTCTTCTGTCCCCAATCAGAACGGAACTTCTATCTCTTCAAATGGCGATGCTTTCATACGGTAAATTAATTGTTAATTTCAGGAGAATGAGATCTCCAGATTTCGTGTTCTACTCAAGTTAATATATATATATTGTGATTTTTTTGTCTGGTTAACTGCTTGTAATTTGTTCAGATCTAAGTGGATGATTTACTGCTGTAGCATTTGTATTTTGATATAGATGACTAATTCTGAGGAAAACCTTGGGCAGCGTTCTGTTTAGAGCATTTGAAATTGTTTGTGTATACTGTGCCTAATGTAAATTTTCGTTTTCCCAGTTCTTGTGCCAATCTTGTGTTTAAGTTCAACGCTTTTGATCCTTGTTTTATTTTGAAATTAGATTGGAAAAGATTACATTCCGGAGGCCCAAAGAATTTTCAAACTTCAGTACAGGCTTGATTTATGTCATTGTTTTTGAGGTGAATGATAGAGAGACAATTGGGGGCTCGGCCTATGGGGGCCAGAGAGCTGTATGCTGCACAGCAGATCTTGCAAAACTGGGTGTGTGTAGGCAAGGGGAACTTATTCACCGTCAATCTACCCAGAATCCTGGTTGGCCCCAGGTATTTGGTGCGTCATTTGATGTTGATGAGCTAGCCTCAACAATGCAACCCAGATCAATACAGATTACAGGAACTGGAATGTATAATCTGTATTTCATTCATTGTAATCCAAATCTTAAGGACTTGGTTGTAGAGGGGAAAACTATATGGAAAAATCCTACTGGTTACTTACCTGGTAGAATGGCACCACTTCTGAACTTTTATGGCTTCATGTCTCTTGCTTTTGTGATACTTGGAATCTTCTGGTTCTCTCAGTATGCAAGATTCTGGAGAGAGATTCTTCCATTGCAAAACTGCATTACACTAGTGATAACGCTGGGCATGTTTGAAATGACCTTGTGGTATTTTGATTATGCCGAATTCAATGAAACAGGAGTAAGGCCAACTGGGATCACCATATGGGCAGTCACCTTCGGCACCGTGAAACGCACAGTTTCGCGTTTGATTATCCTAATGGTTTCTATGGGCTATGGTGTTGTGCGACCTACCCTTGGTGGTCTTACATCAAAGGTTCTTATGCTTGGAGCAACCTTCTTTCTTGCATCTGAAGTGCTTGAACTTGTAGAAAATGTTGGAGCTATAAGTGATCTTTCAGGGAAGGGGAGACTGTTTTTAGTTCTTCCAGTGGCAATCTTGGATGCTTTCTTCATTCTTTGGATATTTACATCCCTCTCTGCAACTCTAAATAAGCTTCAGGTACTTGGTCTGTATTCACCAGAACATCTAATTCATATTATCTGCATTATTAAAAAACCTTTTACAAGATCTTTATTTGGTCACAACTCACAAGATACTTGTGGACTAATAGTACAAATGGAAATTGGATGGATCAACCGGTAGTACCAATAGAAATCTAGGATACTTGGAATTTATACTTCTAAATTTGGGTCAGTTTAGCTGGCCACTAACTAATGAACTCTTTGTTGCATTGTATGTCAAAATTTTTGTGAAGAAGGCTATAATGGCCTGATAATCTGTCTGAAGTGATTCCCTATGGTAGGAGACTTTTTCAGTTAATTTAAATCACGTTGGACCAAAGCAAAAGGTTTAGGTTCCTGATGAGAGAATGTACGGGGAAAAAATTGCAAGATGAACATGACTTGATGAAGTTGTGCTAGCAGGCATCTAAGCTATTGTCAAGGTAACATAACTGGTTTTTTGTGTCACAAAAGTATAGAAGTTTTGAGGAATGCAAATTTAATGGGTAAAATCAAAATGAGGATAATTGATTATAAGTTTCGCGGTCCTGAAACTCCTACCTTATTCTGTAGCGATTATGACTCATCATAACTAGAATCCTGCAAAGCGCTTGTATATTATGCTACTCTGACATGGAAATTCATGTTCTAAAGAAAGCATAAGATGATTGTTTCCTGTTCTGCCTCTTTCCTTTTATTATTTATTTACTTTGAAACTCAACTCAACTCGATCAAACTTTTATCCGAACTATTTGGGTTGGCTATATGAATCATGTTTATCCATTGTACTTGATGGTCATATTTTTCATTATTTCCTTTGAAAAGGAAAAAATAAGGGGGTTAAAGATAGTGAATTTTAAAACAAGAAACAAACCTAATAATTGTTGCTTTGCTGATGTGATGTGACAGGCTAGAAGGATGATGGCCAAGCTAGATATTTACAGGAAGTTCACAAATGCATTGGCAGTAGCTGTTATTGTGTCTGTGGGCTGGATATGTTATGAGGTAATATTTACTGGTATAGAATATAAAGCTAAATTAATCTGTTTAATCTTCCATTGCTGATTCTAAAACTGCTGCAAGAACATCGGGAAAGTTCTGTGGAATGTGTGACAAACCATTCTCTACACTGATAGTGCTTACTTCGAACATTATCTGTCTGAATGGTTTGCTAAAATAGAAGGCGAAGTGCTATGAATGAGGATAAGATATTTGATGTGTGGCCTTGTGAAGGAAATCCGTTAAGGTGTCAATAATATGGGTGCTAAGGTTCACCATTGTCAGCTATTATGTGCGTGTGTATTGAGGAGTGTGTGTGTTCGTATCTCTGTGTGTGTGTGTGTTGATGGAGCAATACTGATTTGCTTATTTGTAGTTTTTCATCATTCACTTACATATTTGTATGCAATTTTGGGTCGACTCTGATCTAATAATTAAGAAATATTGGATTGTAAGTTATCTTATCAGTCTCGAAGAAGTGGCGAAAAATGATTCTCACTTTAGAATACCAACATCTGACCTCCCCCAGAGAAAGGAAGCAATTGAAGATTCATTTTCAGAAATATCCTATCTTTTGCTGCATCATTTAGCAGCTTCCCATTAGGTCATGTAATCACTTATGGCATATCACTAAATTTTTTTTGCAGCTGTATTTCAAGTCAGCAGATGTATACAATGAGCAGTGGCAGAATGCGTGGATCATTCCTGCCTTCTGGCAAGTCTTGTCTTTCTCTCTCCTTTGTGTCATCTGTGCTCTTTGGACGCCATCTCAGAACTCAATGCGGTAAGATATTTGGCTCCCATACATGCTCCTCTATTAATTGAGTTGAGGTGGCCTAGCATTCAAACGTCCATTGCAATCACTAAACCATCACAGAATGCAGTTAAGTAATTTATACCAATTGAGTGGGAAGGTCTGCCTTTTCATTACTGATTAGTATGCAGTCGTTGCCATTATGTTGGCATGTGTAATCATTTGTTTTGGAATTAAAAAAAAAGTTATGAAAATGAAAAATTATGATAATGTTGGAACCCTATAAGTCCATGGTAGGTGTCAGCACCAGTTATATTATTATTAACATGACCAGAACTGTCTAAATACATCAGTAGTACTTGTCAATATCTACATAATAAAATAGTTAAATTGTTTATCTTGAGTTTTTTGCGGCTCAAATCGTTTTGATCTGATGGTCCTAATTGGATTTTCATTCCTATATGACTCCTATCTCTTATATAACTCTATTTATATATTTTATACTCTCTATCTCATACTATTTTTTTTTTTTCTTGTGTTGTTTGTGTTATTATTTACTCCATAAAACAGATAAAATTACATGTTATTCAATTATTTATTTCAAGAAATTAATTCAAATTTTTAAAGATTATGTATTTAATTATATTCTATTAGTTTTTTTTTTTTACTTAAGAGTATTTATTACATGGGGATATGGTAGATTTAAAATATGGTGGTTAAGTTTATAATTATGTTGTATCATTGAATTGAGTGGTAGTAGAAGTGATAAATTCGTGTGACTTATAAATAAGTAAGATTTTATTTATTGATTAAAAATTATAAATTTTTATGTGTTTTGTTAGTATTTTTTTTTAAGGTATTTATATATATGGTGTTATTTTGAAGAGTTTTTATATATTTTTATGACAGATTCATTAATATGGAGGATATAGTGGATAATATATTTCGAGTCATTTTAAAAGAAGAATTTATTTGAATATTTTTAGGTTATTCTTTTTTAAGTTGGACAATTGTTTAAAAAAAATTTTGTTTGCGGTATATTTTTATCGAACACGAGCAATGACTTAATAATAAAATAAAATTGGAATCATGTCTATCATAGCTGTCAAAGATTGACAATTTTAGTCATCATAATTTGTCATTGTCATTGCATTATCATAATGACCACCCCATTATAGATTACAGTATTGATATTCCTATCACTATCCTTGCGGTTGTAATTCATGAAAATTACTATTTGTCACATTAATGACACAAGAAACCTATATAAATCAGACTCTTAAGTTTGGCTAAAGTAAGGAATTTCATGCAATTTATGTATTTCACTATTGGTGGCAATAATAATTGGAGTTATCTCCCGGGTCCACTCAGAATTTCTTTTAGTATGATATGACTATCACTGACATTATTCTCTCTGCACGCTATATTTTTACATTGGACAGATATGCGTACTCTGATGATACAAGTGAAGACTTTGACAAGGATGATACTTTGACATTTATAAAGCCATCCCCTCAGGCTTCAAAGGATGTACGAAGTGCTCCGGAAGTGAGACCAGGGCATGGCGACAATAGATTGTCAAATGGTGATATCGAGGAAGACAAGACACAGTAATGTACACTGTTGAATGTTTAAGTGGTTCTGTTGGAAGAAGCTCTGCGGCCTGGATCATTATTGTTGATCTAGTTTCTCTCTGAGCTTGTGTAGGATTGTGATGGTAGAACTGGGAAAAACTAATTATGGTATATGAGAAAGAAGGGTCCTACTATATTCTTCTTTGTTGTTCGTTTTTATTCCTATACCTTTGTTTTGATTGGAATTTATAGCCTCCAGTACTAGCGGCTAGAAGGGATAACATTGCATCCCTTTGTTTATTTGCAACAAGAATGGTTTTATGATTTGTCATCGCCTGTAATCTACTTTCCTTTTTCGAAATACACCAGTTAATGCCTGTTTCTTCTGTTCTTAATTTAGGATATCAGATAGAATAAGAAATTAAGGGATTTTTTAGTTTGGATCTCTAAAAATAGGATTCGAAAATAATTTTTGCGAAAAATTTAAAAAAAGTGTTTTTTAATATTTTTGTGTTACAAAATTTGTTTGGGTATATGATTTTGAAAAAAATTTTAAAATATAAAAAATAATAAAACCTGTTTTGAATAGTTATTCACAAAATTAATTTTTATCTTATTTTCTCACAGCAGCTCTCTCTTTCCTCTCTCCATTATCTTCTCGCACAGCAGTTTTCTCTCTTTCGGCATCTCTCTCCGTTATCTTGTCACATCTCTCTTTGTTGTCTTCTCGCACAGCGCACAAACACACACACATAGTCATCGTACACACATATATATGCACATAAATTTGTGTGTATATATATATATATATTTGAACACATATCTGTAATTTTGAACATATTTTTTATTTTTGACTTAAAAACTTAGAAAACATCTAAATGATGTTCTCTAATTTTTGTTCTCAATTATCACTTTTTTTGAAAAATTATTTTTGAGAATTGCTGTTCAAAAAGTATCTCAAAAAATTATTTTTAAAACACAAACCAAACACCACCTCAGTTCTCTCTTTTTTTCATCTTAGTGTCGGCCACTAGCGTTGCTAGATTCCTTATACGTCTCCACTGAGAGTGACGGACAAAAACATAAAACTCTTTCATATATATCTTCTGAGCAGCCTGAGAAGATACCAGGATTTACATTCGCAGTGGAACTTAAAAAGTCATTCTTATTTTTAAAAAAAAAAAACTATGCATAAAACCAAGTGCAAGAGGAAAGGTTTTCACTTTCAAATCATGTTGTCAGAGCAAAGGTATGTTAATTAAATTATTTATTAAAATTTGTATTTCTCGTCGATGCAGATAATTAAATTAGTGATGTCTATTAATTTTACAAAATATTTAATACATAAAATTTTAACACATTATTTAAAATATAAAATTTGATAAACAAATTTAGACAGCACAATTTTATCTCATTTTCTCCGGGCTATACATTGCCACAGCGAATGATACGCTGCATGTTTAATTTTGCTTTTGGGACTCTTATTCTTCGTGGGAACCAGGAAACTTGCACCCCTTGCCAGTTATTTGAGAATGACACAGTGTAACCGCCGCATTTTTTACCATCAGATAAGGCCGTTCAGTAAAAACTGCAACACATGTTTATTCAGGCGGTTGTTTTGCAATGTAATAAATTCAAACTCACGAAATTAAAGCCAGAATTCAGAATTATTATGCCTACTTTTTTCTAAGGGTGGAATGGACCTCGCCAGAGCACTTGCAACTCAATGATTTTAAGTGTAGACAACCCAAAAAAATGATTTTAAGGTCATAGTTGAAAACTTATTCAAGAAGCACCATAAGCGTTATCTAAATACCTTGCCGTCCCTCTAACAGATTCCGGCTAATACAAATCTGAAATCACAATTTGCAGATCTCTTTACACTGAATAATGGAGGGATGACGGTCATAAAAACCTGTAAAGCTAAACTAAAAGTAGCACAGAAGGGTACAGTGAGCTCATTTCACACAGAACTTCAATCTGCAAAGCCAAGCTTACAAAACAATTTAACTAAAGAATAACCCACGTATATTGTAAAAATCCAGTTCAAGAAAAAAGTATATTGTGAAAATCAGCGAGCTTAACAAGAATTGCTGCTGCCTTCATCAAAATATTGTTGCATTCATAGTAACCTTAGCACATTGATATGGTATAAGCACTTCATATATAGGAACTATTGTCAGACGGCTAGCATGAAACATCCATTATATTTTCAAACCCCTTTAGGGTCATCAAAGCATATCTAGGTTCTGCTTTTCACTCTAGAAAACATAATATAGTTTGAAATATCAATGTAAAGCACATACAGCAATTCCCATATGGACAAATGGAACAAAACCTAAAATGCAGCGAGAAAAAACAGACAACAACATTCTTACAGATATGAAGCATTCAGGCAGGTGGACCTTGGCTATTCGGGAGAGCTACAACAGGTCTTCCCCGTTATTTCCACTGTGGTAAAAAAATTAGACGGTTATGCTCCTAAAGGACTTGAGAGCTCAGGAAAGCCCCAAATAACCAGAACCACATCATCCAAACACTCTATAAAAAATTCAAAGAATTGTGTCCTAGACTCTAAAAGGCAAAAACTCAATCCATTCCTTCACTGAGATCTCCTCCTCAAGTGCTGAGACAGCGGATATCCCTCAAAGAAATCCAAGAGAGCAGATTCCAGGTCCTCAACGGTGTACTTGATGTAATTCTCTGGGTGCCTCCCACTCTCTATATGGCTCCTGAAACGGCCAAGAAATGATCTATAAGCCGGGATCAACAACTCAGATATGGATATACGAAGCTCCTCCCGAAGTTGTGTATCTGGTATCAACCACACTGCCTGAGTCTTGTGGACCTCCTCAAACATAGCATTGAAGGACTTGAACCTCTCTCTCAAAGCGCTCTTGGACACCCCAGATGAAAAACTCCCACTCACATGCAGCCCTTCATCTCGCAAACAGTACAAGACCCTCACCCAAGTTGCTCTCTGGTAACTAGTTGCTGCCTGTCTATATTTCCCAGTCAACTTCCTCAAAAAATCATCTGCAATCATCTCTCTCAACTCCGGAGACCCTCTGATCTTCTGAACAATGTAATGAACATTGTTCATAATAAACAAATGAGCCAAAGAAGCATCTTTATAGTGCTTGGACTTACCCTCCAAATTGAATTGCAAAATCACAATAATCCAAACAAAATGATGAGCCAACGGAGTTTGCCCCTCCAGTTCTGCCAAATCCATATCCGGCGTGTTAGGATCACTGCTATACCTCGACCCCGTTGATGGCTTCAATACAATCAATTCAATTAAGGTCTGCTTGTAATCAGAGATCAGACTTATGTAATTCATCACATACCTAGTCAAGGGGTGAATTGTTCCCCCGGGAACAGGAATCGTCGACGGCTCACGAAGCACCGCGTTCTCAAATTCCGATAATATCCCCCTCGCGGCCTCAGCCAGACGAGACAATATTTCCGCTCCCTGAACCCTAATCGATTCGGATGACTTCCACTCAAAAACAATATCGATATCGGGCAACAAGTCCGACAATGCATCGTGAAGGTCCAATATCTTGAACAACTTCTCCGGCGACCTCCGACTAATACTAATCGCTTCAGCGAAATTAAACAGCTGAATTGCTGGACCTTTAACAGTTTCCATAAAACAAGCATCATCTGTAGAAGTCCCCAAACCTTCAAAGATTTGCTCACACAGTTTTTTCTCACTCGCAAAGAGTATTCGAACACAAACCTTCGCGGCTCGAATCCACCGTCTGATCTTCGTTTCCAGAACCTCCCACTCAAGCCTCTGAATATCACCGATGCTCAATTTTTCTATTCCAAGACTCCGGAAGCTCGCATCAACCGCAGACTTCCTTACACTGCCGTAGACCTGAATACACTCCCGGAGATATCCCGCAGATATCATTCTCTCTGTGATGCTTCGGAGATCGTAGATAGTTTCGGAAGGTATCAGATCGATCTCGCGAATACTGGATGAAGATCGATAGCTTGCGCTGCTACGACTGCTCTCCTGATGTTCCATTTCTTTGCTTATCGCATGGTGATCCGTAAACGCTTCGTCTTCTTGAACTTCACTACCACCAGTGCTGTCCGTTGCAGATGTAGAGTGGATCGAAGAGCTCTGATCGATGAAATAGTCAGTTAGGGTTGGAGTGGTATGAGCGATCAATATGTTGCGAAACTCGTCCTCTAGCCGAGCCATGGCGATCTGAATCGCGATGTTAGCTTTACTCTGGTCGTCAGATATGGTTGCGGATTCCATGGACCGTTGGATATCATCCACGGCCTGTAAGTACCGATCGATCTCGTGACGATCGCCGTCGAATACCATTTTCGCTCTGGCTTCCTCCGACGCCGTCGAATCCCACCCGAGGATAATCTTCTCGGCCGATTCGAACGATACAACGTCGTTTTCAGGAGGTTCCATGAGATTTCAGATGAAAGATTCAGAATATAGACAAGAAGATGATAGTGATCTTTAGTCGAATTGTCTTGATATTTCGAAAAGGTGGGCGTGGTGAATAGTCGAAGTGGTGGGGTTACGAGTTAGAGAAAACTGAGACACTAAAATGATTCAGCGGAAAATTTTATCATCTAGGAGGGTCTCGGAAGTCAGCGAGAGAATTGAAGAGGACTCCTGTTGGGGATAAGTTTGAACTTTGAAGAGATGGGACAAATAATTGACTTCACCGGCATCGGAATCTTACGACTACTCCGACGGTGTAGCCGATGACTTAGGATTGGAATTTTGAAGCCAAGTACAGCCCAAAAACACATTTGTGAAAGAGAACTGACGGCAACTTTCAACTGAAGTTAAGTAACATTAACCGCTGTTTAGTTAAAGAGAAATGTGCCCTTAAAGAGGAATCTAATTAAGAACTTAATTTGTTGTAATTACTAGATTAATTACGAATTTTAATACATTAGATAAATATCATTTTTAATTCTAGAATTATGATTAATTAAATCTATAAATTAGGTCTTTAAATTAAATATAAAAAATTAAATTTTTTTAATTATTAACTCACTAGTATATAGGTTTGTCCATCGTATCGGATGATATAAGTTCGTGTTAAATCTTAACGAGTTTGAGTCAAAAAATATTTTACCTATAACCGATTTATTTATTAGTTCGCATTTAAAGAAATCGTGTCATATTCGTTTATTAATCGTGTTTGTGTTGAGTTTATTTGTTTACGAAACAGGTGACTTAAGAATTATTCAAATCTTCTATGTTAATGGATCGTATTATGTTTTGACACCCCTACTTGTATAGATGGATTAGAACATCAAAGAATTTGTTTGATTGCCGTATTAGAAAATGAATAGATAAGATAAGATAAGTTTAAATAGAGTATTAAAATAATACGTAATTTTATCTAGTGTTTGGCAACACACAACCTAAAAGTTGAATAATAGTTATTTAATTAAATTGGTTGTTTGATTTGAGAATTATTTAATCGTATTAATGTTGAATTAACAAAAACACCTTCGATCAGTGTTTATTAAATTAATGACAGCTTGATTTTATCAATTGAAGGTTATAATAGTAAATGTGTAGAATAATTCGTTTGAGTTGAATTATAATAATACCTTTTTTTATGGTATTAAAATACCTCCATAATACAGATTTATCGTACAAAAAATATACGATTAGTGTGTTTTTTTAAATTAATACAATATCAAATTTTTTTATCAAATAAAATATTAGGTCTGATTAAATAAAAAATAATATAATTTAATATTTAATTTCTTATAATACGTCTACCAAAAAATCCAAAAATATAAATAACTCAGTAAACCAGCAGTCACTTTGGCAATAACCAATTTCAGAGTCAGAGGTACCCTTTTATAATTGGCTCTTGTCATGTGTCGTGTACGCTCTATAAGAGGATTGACTAATAGTTCCATTCTTCACACGCTGAGAGGAGAGGAGGAAACTTCTGTGCCGACAAGATGACAAGTCTGGGAGAGCTACAGCAGGACTCTTTTCTATTTTTTTGATGTCCAACCATCTTTGTTTGTTTGTTTTTTTTGACCAAAAAGAGAGTGGAATATCATTCATGTGGGAAAAATCTGATTACAAAGAGTAGGAAGTAAAGCCTTAAACTCGGTGGGAAGGGGGGCAGCTGACCAATTCACGGCAAGCGCATCGGTCTTTGCAGCTGCAGCAACCTTGTGAGCAGCCCTATTGACCACCATCTTTGATGGTACAGCATTTTTTGAATGATCTTTTCACATATCTCTTTTGCTAGAGGGTTTACATAACCCTTTAACTTTTCCTATGTACCAAAAAAAAAAAAAAAAAGGCTATCACAAAACTAGTTTGTCGGATACATTTTTTGGCTTTTTCAAAAAATAAAAAATCTTAATAAAATGATAAATGACAATAATTCATATATTTTATTGGTGATGTGTACCATCTCACATTGGTATGTGGTGGGTTAAACATAGACTCAAAAAAAAAGGCAAATTTTATTTTACCCCCTTGTTGTTTCACTCATTTGCACATCATCTCTCTCAAATTTTAAAATAGCACTTAACCCCTTTGTGTGGTTGTTGAACTAAAATGAACCGTTAAATTTTTCATCTATTTTAACCATTCTTGTATATCAAGCGTTTGTTATGCATGTTGGTATAAAAGATGCATGCTGAAAGACGAAAAAAACCATCAACACCAAAGCACCCTCATCTTCTTCTTCCCTGTCTTCAGCGTCCCTCGCCCCCCTCCCTCTCTCAGTCTCACACACACAGACACACAGTTCTCCCATCTCCGTCAACACACATACACACAGAGTTGATGACAAGTGAAATTAATATGCTCTGAATTAAACCCTGCAACAAAATGATAGTGGTACCCAGATCAAGATGTCCAATTTTATGGACCTTGGTGATATGCTTATAAGCTGGCTGTTGGCAATAAGGGAAGACAGTTGTCTAGAAAGCTTTTGGAACAAGGGTCTCTCAAGGATTCTGCAAGACTTAGTGAAGATTTGAAGCTCCTGTTGTCACAAATATCTGCTGCTCGAGGGGTCGACTTAACACTCAATGATATGAGCCCTAGAGTGTCCGAAAATGGTGAGGAATCGAGAAGTTCTGATGCTTCTATCTCTATTGGTATTCAGACAAACGACCTTGAAGCTCGGATTGATCTTCATAAGAAGAAATTTGGGGGTGTATTAAATTTGGAAAATATGGTGGAGTCAATTACCGGAGTTGGGGGTGGCTGGGCTGTCAGATATAATGGTGATTGACGATGGGTATTAAAGTTATTTTAATGTACAAGAGTTAACGGTACATTTTAGTCCAACAATCGTAAGGGAGTTAAGTGCTATTTTAAAACTTGAGAGAGGTGATATGCAAACGGATCAAACTACAAGAGAGTAAAATGAAGTTTTCCCAAAAAAAAAAACTCCTTATGGGTAATTAAAGCAGATTTGATCAACCAAAGAAGCTTAATGTGCTAGCTCTAGCTTCTCTCTAAATTACAAAGAAGCGAATAATTGGCACATATTCACTGTGTTGCCTGTTCTACCTGGGTAGGTGACACACAAACATATATCTGTATAATAAAACAGCTCATATTTTAAATTTTATCCTATTCATATTTTTTCCCTCAAAATTATCACTAATCACTTATCTCACTCATCATCCCTCTGTTAGATTCAAATATCAAGTCGCATCATTTATTTTTATCACATATTTAATCATTTATATATTTCTTTCTTAAAAATATCACATCACTCATTTTTTATCATATGTTTAATTATTTAATATTTGATTAATTTGTAGTTAATATAATTTTTATTTCAAACATTATTCATATACAATAGTATACATATGTTATAAAAATTTAATATAGTGGTATCTATTTTTTGGCAGCTTGAATTTTATATTTTATCATATCTTCAGACACGGAGTAATAAAAAAAATTGATCAATAATAAACATATTTGTATTCATACTCAAAATCAAATCTCAAACATAAATAAGAGATAAATAAATTTAAGTATTGATTGTAATGAGGGTGAGCGGTGTTAGTGGTGGTAGGCAACAGTGGTGATGGTGAAAGACAATGATGGCTATGGTGGGTGGTAACAACCGTGGTGGTGGTAACAGCCGTGAATGACAACAATGATGGTGGTGGTGGATTTTGGGTGACGATGATGGTAGTGACAATCGTGAGTGGGACGACGACGGTTGTGGTGGGCAGTGACGATGGTGGTGGTGAGTGACGATAGATGCTTCTAAACAACAGTGTGATGGGTAGTGGCGAATGACAATGGTGGTAAATGTGGTGGGCGATGACGGGGGGTGGTGGTAGGTGTGGTGGGAGTGGGAGTGGGTGACAGTGATTGGTGGCGATGGTGGGCAACGACGGGGTAGTGGTGAGTTATGGTAGTGGGTGACGATAGACAACAATAGTAGTGGTGGGTGTTGACGATAAGAAACAATGGTAGTGGGATGATGATGATAATGGTAATAAATATATATAAGAATAATATAATGATGGTGATGAATGGTCGATGGTGGTAGTGGACGACGATGGTAACAATCAGTGGTAGAGGGTGATGGTGGTTGTGGGGTAACGAGGATGGGGTGAGTGTGCAAGTGAGGGCTGTGGCGGTTGTGGGTTGGCGATAATGATGTTAGTTGTTATGGTCGTGAGGGTGGGGGTGGTAGAGGTGGGAGTGGAGCAGTTCTAAAGATTATTTTTTTTGTAAAAATAATTATAAGAAATAATTCTTAGAAACACTTTTAAAAATTTATTTCAAACACACCCTTAGTGGCTTATTTTTCATATTAAATTTGGAATTTTAATATTAGTCGTCAAATTAAATTTAAAATAAAATTTAAAGAGATCTCAACCACTAATAGCAAAAGTCATTTTGTTTGTGTTTTAAAATTTGAATTGTATTATACTTTATTATATATATATAATTGCAAAATTAATTTATGGATTTAATGAAGTCAACTTATCTACTTCCAAAACATTTCGCGTAAATGCATTCTTGCATGTATGTACATACGTGATTTAGGAGACAAGAAAACAGAATAATTAGACCAAAACAAAAAATCCTCAGTCTTTATTAGCTAGGAAGTAATTGAAGAAAGTCTAGGATAATTTTTCAACTAAAAATTTGCCAGTTTTTTAGAAATCTTGTGTCCAGTTGGTGCTTGCTACATGCTACTGCTTCAGAAGATAATTAAAGGCCAGCTCCAGCTAGCAGTCGTTAGAAGCAAACAAAAATTTATATATGTACTTCGAGGTTGCACGAGTGGTGTGCACTGAGTTAATGGCAACCAACCAGGATTTTATTTTAATAATTAAACATATATACTCACTGGAAAAATGTAAATCTCTCTCTCTCTCTCTCTCTCTCTCTCCTGTCTTCGTTGTGGATCATTCATTTTCAAGAGTGATCATCTTAGTTGTTCAAAGCAAAGGTGGGCTGTGGTGGTTGTTTGACAGGCTAAGAGAGCCTCTATAGCTGAGCATTTTTAGATAATTGTTCCTTCTCCAGCTGTAATGACTTATCTGTGTGAGCCTGACTAATGAGTATAATATTCCAATGAGCTGGAACTTGGCAGCATCATCAGTAGGCGTCTGAGGGCTCCCCAAAGAGAGTAAACACAGATCTGCGCTGCGCCCTCACCAATTTTTACATATATAATATACTATATATATAATCTGAGCGACCAAGTGCCTCAAAGGCCCAGAAATTAAACTCTTTAATCTCTTACCTCACTGTACTCTTTATATTTCTTGTATGCTGCTGGACCATGAAGCCATGCATGATCTCCGCTCCGTACATCTCTAAATCCCTGACGGCATTTAAAAATGACCGATTGTGTCCCATTAATGTATCGGATTATTTATCCATGTCCTGGAAGAAACTACGCAGTTGCTGTGTATCAGTTCAAGGTGAGGGAACAGCTTGGCCTTGCTCTTGTGGGTTTGCCATTATTTATGGTTTTGCATGGCCACACCTTTACATGAACATTCGAGGAGGGTGTTTTTCGTGTTCTTTTGCTTGTATAAAAGTTTTCTTTCACTTCATATCAAGCTTAAAAACCGACATTTAATTGGCTAAGATCGAGCTCACATGGTATAAATTGGTTTACTTGCATTCAGAGGTACAATTTGCTAGGAGTTCTGGGATAAGCTAAAACTTCATCATGCAAGGCTAAGTTTTCCTTTGATAAAATTTTTTATTGTGATATCCGCCTCACCATCACAGATTTAAGTCACAAAAAATAGTTTTTCCAAGGCCCACTTTAGTTTGCATAATAGTTTATGAGAGAAAAATTGTTATTTTTTATTTTTGAAAATTGATAACAAAAATTGAACAAAGTTAGGGATCGTTTATTAACATTTTTGTTTTCGCATTTTTCAAAAAAAAAAAATAATAAAGACAATTTTTGTTTTGTTTTGTGATAAACATTGAAAGTAAAAAACATATTTGAGAGTCATTTGTGTTAACTGAATTATGATATAAAAATAAAAATCATATATGATAACCACTTTGAGTTATATTCTAATTATTAGTTTTATAATATTTAGTACTACAAAATACAAATCAAAATTCATTATCTCAACACATCCTCTGCACTAATTCATCAAATAACACCTAAAGTAAGATAATTGGATTACATTAGACTTCTACAATCTGACCAAAACAGACTCAAACCTTACAAATCAACAAATGCATAATCAGCTTAGCCAGCCTTCTCCCCCCCCCCCCCCCCCACACAGGCATGCATAATCTGTAATATTTCCAACACATTCACACCATTTCAGCTGCACAACAAATTCACACTCACACACACATAGACACACTCAGACCCACACAATCACAACCACAACACACACAGACACAACTTTGACCCACACACACAGACACACTCACATGCACAGCACATAGACACACAACACACTCACGCTCAGACACAGACACACGCACTCATTCACACTCATACATACGACACACATAGACACACCACACACACACACAAACCCACGTACTCTTAGAAAACAAGTTAGAGTTGTTTTGTGTATATTTGAAAATAATATTTTCAGAATTTAGAAAACACTAACACCACTACCATACTTCCACTACCACCCCCACTTGTATCACCACCACATTTTTGTTTTCATTATTTTTAGGTTACTGTCAAAAGAAATTTTACTCTTTTTTATTCCGTAAATTATTTTTGGAACAATATAACCAAACAAGTTCTGTGACAATATTTTGTGCATTTGATTTTTTCTTTTGCTTCGGATCCGAATAGGACAATCATATCACTACATTTCGTTTAATTGTTTTCTAGTAGACTATTTTACTTGAAAATGTTATGCATACCAAAAAATTTATCAAAAAATATTTTTACTAATTGAGTTGACAGATCTATATCACTTCTAGACCTACTAAATACTGATCAAAATATTTTTGATTGAATATAAAATTGTCAATTTATTTAATAAAATTATTTTTTAATAATTATTTTGATAAACATAACATTACTCGTAGCTGAAATTCAATGGCAACTTACACAACATTTCCAGGTAGAGGTAGTCTTTGAACTTCAGCAGCAAGCTTCAGTTCCTTTCTACAATTATATCATGAAAGTGGAACTGATATTCCACATAAAGCACATGCATGTGCAGTGTCTGTAATGTGTGGCTCAATTGGTCCCCCCCTAAGTATGTCCCTCAATTGGCAGTAATATAAATTTGTTTTTGAGTATGAGGATGAGGTATGTCTTGTTATACTAAAGCAATTTTGAGTGTGGTTTAGACTTAGTCTTATCTTTTTTTTAAAAATTTGTTTAACAAATTAAATCCTAATTTTTTAACTCGGATTTTAATTTATGTCTGTTGGAATTTAAATTTCACACTGGTTCAAATTTAAATTTTTCCTCCAGTCTAAATTTAAAATTCATATCTATTCCTTATTGGGCATATATTAATTATGTTTTCTAAGTTGTATCTATTCGCATAGTGGTTATTCAGAACAGTCACTATTATGTTTATAAATAATCCAAATCCATTAGCATTCTTTTTTAACAATATTACAAATTAAGGCAGTCATTATATTCATAAATTCATCATTAATGGTCTGCATTATTTTGAGAGTACACTATGTTATTCTGGTTTGCTAAGCAATTAGATTGGAGTGTTACTTCTAATTATATAAAGATTATTGTATCTTGTGAGGCAAACGCCTAGATTTTCCATAAGCATCAAGTGTAGG